CTTCAGTAACACATCCAAACAGACGGCTCTATTCGGTGAGAACTTCCTCAAGTCCACTTGACAGAATACTGGCTTACTTGTTTTTTTTTCTGTCTTTTTTTAAACATTTGTGTCTACAGAATAATGCTTTTTTTTAAGATATCCTTTTTTGCCACAGAGCTACCATATTCAGAGTGAGTGAAGACTTCATTGTGATGGTGGTGCTTTAAGCAGGGATCATTTAACACAGTACATCAGAATGTGTTATCTGTATTCATGTTCTTGTAAGCCGGGCGATGTTTCAGAGATATCTGTCCTTCAGAGACGCACACAGTTGGCAAAAGACTGGAATGCTGACAACATTCTTCAGGTAAACACAGAGCATTCTGAGTGCCTGTGTCTGCTTTAGGCTAAAGTTGCAGAGAATCTTGTTTTTCTTGATCTTTAATAAAACAACCTCGTTTGAAGAGATTAATCTAACCTGAATCAGGTACAGAAGCAGAAAAAGACCTGCAGGATGGCGGCCCTGAAGACTGGAATTCAACAAGATTTACGACATGATGTCGTCATGTCCTTGTTATATGTGATTTGAATGACTTTTGTCAGAGCATAATTCGTCTTGATACCTGAGCAAACCTGAGTCACTCTGAGGCAGACAAGAAAAGTCAATTTAGAATAAGCACATCTATTTCCAATGAAGTCCATGTGTCCATGTGCAACATCATTGAATCGGGAATACCAGAACGCAATCATAGGTTATTTCATGATTGTTTTTTAGATGTATGTAGTGTTTTGTAATAGTAGTAGAGAAAATACAATGTAAAAATGCAGAAATCCAATCTTTGTTAAACGAAAAATCTGTTTCTTTTTTTTTTGTACATTTACCACATTTGGGTTTCATGCCAACACTACTTTACAAAGAAAAAAGTTGGGATAAGGCATTCTCCCTCTATTGGATAATTAAATCTAAAAGTACAACAGCCCCTGGGGCTGAGGGAAGGAACTGGTATCCAGTGGTGCTCTATAAAATCCATAAAAGTGGAGATGTCACTACTGCACAAAAATAAGGTTTTGTTTTTAGTGTGGGTGTAACAAAATGCTTTTAGTAATTGTACCCCGACCATCATGAATATATTTGCTTGTTTCTCTGCTTCAACACACCTGACTTCATTGGGCCACTCCATTAGGCCTCAGTGGAGTTGATCCATTCATTTGATTTAGGTGTGCTGTTTCCTTTAAACAGTGAAAACAATTTCATTTTTTTCTGTTTTTCATGCACATGCTGTTATCAAAGGTAATCATTTTCCCAATATTGTTGGGTTTTGCTTGCAAATAGTTCATTTGCACAGTGCTCTGTGAAAATTCTTCCATTCACATCCACAAATGAACTCAAACCGTTTTTTAATTTGCCACTTGATATTTTTGGAATGCATCTGTTTTCACTGTATTTTTTTATTAAAGCCACATTTTGATTTTTAGAAACTAGTGTTTGCAACTCATTGCCTGAAAGTCTAAATATCACAGCCATTATTGCTGTTCAAACTTTTCTGTAATATTGTGTTCTATGAGGCCGAATCTCAACAGATTTTACAATGAGAAACAACTGTACTTGTTGAAAGATTTGATTCACGAATGTTGTCCTTTTTCTGTAACTTACCTACAATATAATAATCACCAAAATACAATAATTTTTCAAGATTTACTGTGCATTCAAGTTTTGCCTCTTAGCCAGAACCAAGACTGAAGGTGCTGCATTTTGATTTTATTGACTTTTTACTCAGCATCCTACAAAGTTGCCATTTCACCAGCAGAATGATAATAAAATTATGGCCATTTCTCTCACTGGGCCATTTAACATTCATTGATCTCATGATTACCATGTTAACCGAGCTGTCAGCTTTGACATCTGGCATTACTGTTTCAGGCAAGAGGGAAATAAACCAGGAGCTACTCCCTCTTATCATGCATGACCACACAGCTCTGTTCTCTTTCTCTGAAGGTTGGAGACCTTAATTGTGTAGTTAAAAGGAGGTCTTCAAAACAACATCCGTTCACAAAGTAATAAATACCTGTCTGGTTCAGTTTAGTTTGATGAGATGAGGCAAATATTAAAAGAGAATTTACAGCCAAAGTACATACATTTCAGTAGTGAGCTATGTCTATTTTTGACCATGTTATCACCATCACATTATCATCTTATTTTGTTGACAACACAACAATATGATGGATTGATGGATCAGGCTTTGAAAATAAACCATAACATTACAGTTTCCAAACATAACGACAGGTATAGTTTGAATTTTAAGATAGAGACTCCATGACAGCAGTTTAAAGCTCTCTCTAAGCAAAAATACTAATTTGATTTATTTATTTAGTATTTATTTATTTATAATAGTAACATTAATGGAAAACAAGAGGCCTGTAGCACATGTGCCAAGTCATACAAGAACTGGTTTTATGATGCTCGAATTGTCTTTGTTGAGAGAAATTGGGTGTCAAATTAAATTCAATGGTAGAATTATTTTGAATGGATGTTACTTTCAGAAATTTTAACAATTTTAATACTTTACATTAATAGTTGGGTTGTTGTTGAGAGGATAACCAACCTAAGTCAGTGTGTACTGTAGATCATTGGTTACGATCTGAAATGAGATACAGAGTAGAGAGTAGGGTGGATATTTAGAAACCAAGCAGGACTGTGTGCACACTGACCCACAGCAGTGCTGCAGGTAACAGATGGCCCTTATTGATTTGAGAGATATCTCTATTAGCAAAATCTAAAGTTATTGAACCCAGCGTGTGGAAAAAGCTGTCAGTCCCGGCTGCACTCTGCTGTGAACTGGCTACTGTCATTTTGACATCATTGTTAAAATAACATAGATAACATGGCCGGAGCATTAAAAACGACTGCTTTGAACAGGGCTCGTGCCAGTTTGGGCTCACTCATCAGACTGTGTCCTGCTGACACTGATCAATGGCAGGGGCGGTGCAGAGGATGGACAGAACAATAGGGATATTGACGCCGAGAATGGATTTTACAGCAAGCCAGTGGGTGCAGACACACAGTGACTGCATGTTGCAGGAACCTGTCAGTGCAAATGACTTACTTCATGCATTTCTTATTTTTCACCCACCTATCCTTCTTATTCTGCACTGAACACTAATGTACTGAGGCTGAGTGCCATGTTCAAGTGACATTAATGGAGACAATAATTACATCCATGAACAATCATCTGTTTTGCATGAAGATGTGTAATGAAATTAGAAATCTCTTTGTGGTCCAGAAATAATGAGATAAAGTCTAGATCCATTACTTCCGCCAGAAATGCACGTAATGAGAACATAAGCCGTATGTGTGCGACACAGATTAGTCTTGTTCAAACTCATACACAAGGCTACATTTATCAACTAAAGCTATTTAAAAACCAACTGCGCAACGGTCTAGCCACATAATCATGAATCTTAAAAACACCCATTCATCTGGATAGGATGTGACTTAAGTGTCATTAAGAAAAATATCATAAGAATACCTTTCTACCTGAACGGAGGGCCGTTAAAAAAGGAACACCAGGATTTCCCCACTCACTCCCTATATTTCTTGGTATTTGGGTTTAAATTATTGATGTGCACAAAAACCTTTTAGTCAGACCTATATCGATTGATTACAACATGACCTGCAACCGTTTAAAAGCTGCAGAGGAGAAATGTCTGCATTTGCGACTCAGACGCTCAGATGATCAATATGAATGTCAGAAAACATTATGGAACACATACCTACACAATGTTTTTTATCATTATTAAAATATAGTAATTACCGGTTGAAGTCCTATATCATAGAGAGAGAGCTAAAAAACTAATAACCACATATTTCAACCAAAAGCAAAAAAAATCTACAAGTTTATTCATGCTTGTCTCTGTATTTGCACAATTTTTCTCAAAAATGTTTAGTGTGCTTATATGCATGTATAACCTGTTCAATGCTATGGTACTTCTGTAAAAAGATTTAATTTGACTTTATCAGTAATTTAAGGGGACTGCCATCAGCTGCCTGTGGGATGACTCATGCTGCAAAGCAGGCAGGAAAATGCACTTGGCTGGAGAACCAGCTTAACAGACGTTCAGAAAATCCCTCAAATTGCCTCTGTGACTCAAGACTTTGAGTCACAGCTTTTGTTCTTTAAACATCTGTCAGGTGTTAAAGGTCCGCTCTCACCTCATTGTGAGCTCATCTTGAACCGTGAAGAAAAATAAAATGGTTTGACCCTCCAACAAACCCGTCTGCTGTTGAAGGAAGACCTGGTGCAAGATATCATAGTTGCGTTGCTTCTGGTGTGACTCAAATGTCGTCTCTGGTTGTTTTGGATTATCCCATTGTGGCAACAGGGGTCACCCTGACCAGTCGTCGTACAGAACGGTATAAGGTCTGCAAAGATTAACGGCTGGTTGCTTATAGTATATACATCAAACAAAGAAAGTAATACATAATTATTTTCCTCAGTGTATCCTGCTATCTTCAGCTCAAATATGCCAAGTAAAGCAGAGAGATGTTAACAGGCAAGCATCCATCTTCTTACTGAAAGAAATGCTTGCTACTGAAATCAGAAGACTAATAGTCTGCTGTTAGGCTGTAAGTCTTTGAACCCAGAGTGTCTGCAGTTTGATTTATTCCGTCTCTGCACAGTGAATATTGAATCTAATGACCACATAAATCTATTAATGTCTTTAGCAGCACAATTGAACACCTTATAGTCTGTGGCTGTTACACAACACTATCGTTTTTAAAAAAGTATCTATTATATCAACCTGAAAACGAACCACTAAATCTTGTGGTAATATAGATTCAAAGATTAAATTACAACAAAAACTACTTTAGATGATTGCCTCTCTTTCTTACCTGCAAGCTTTGCTGTGGAAAATGAGTTGTTTACAAGCTACTGGAGACATTTATTATCCTTCAGAGCCATTCAAACTGATCCTTTCATCCAGTAGTGGCACAGTTCAGGCCTTCCAGACTGTGGATCTTCAGATGATGTCTTTGGCACTCTACCCCTCTTAGGGTTATTGCTATCAAGCTTCCTCTGATTGTGAAGCTCATAACACAAGAAAGTTTATATTAAAAAAAGACACAGTGTGGTTGTAGTTTTTGTTGATCCTGATAGCTAAGATTAAGATCTTACATTTTATACCATCTTTAGTTGTTCTTGAGCTGTGTTTTCCCACAAATACAAATAGATACAACAATTTATTTAAATCAGAAATGTTTTACTTTAGTCCTAGCATGGGTGAACTACTCTACAGACTCAGATATTCCAAGTGACTAGCAGTGCAGGGGATCACCAAAGAGTAATGAGATACAAGCAAGACTTTCCTTTTCTCCACAGTAAGACACTACATTTCTTAAATGAAACAAAAGGAGACTCTGCCTAAATATAGGTCTAATCCAAGAAAATGCTCGATGCCTTAATGGGTTATTGCGTATGCATGAAAGTGGTCTGGGAAGGATGATGTTTCTGTTATTTAGGAGATGGCATCTGTCAGATATGGAAAGGATTAAATGCTATCTGTCTCTGTGAGAGACAGCTCCATTCCTTGATGTCTGGAAGCCAAATACCTCTGACAGAGGAGTTGAGTCCCTGTTGACAGATTCAGGAAAGGATTTGAATCCTTGGCAAAAAGTGCCCTTACTGAGCAGCAACATGGCATCCAAACCTCTTCGCCCAAAAATAAAAGAACAAAAAGTACATTTCCATGCTGAAATTAAAAAACACATTATCTGAAACGATACACCATCAGGCACCAAGAACCGTGGAGTAGTCCTGATGAGCGGGGCACTTTGGAGGGGACACAGCAGTGAAAAAAGGAGCAGAATTTATTTTCCACTTAATGTTTTCCTGCTTCTCTCCCCCAGAAATGATGAAATCCCACCTTTTTCAATGCAAGCTTTTTTGTAAATATAGGGGCATTTGTTTTTCTGCATGTTCACTGCAGTCCAGCACAACAGCCCAAAGTTGCCTTTTCAAAATGTCAACTCTGTTTATCGATTACTACAACCGAACAGACGAATAAAAGCTCTTTCTAAACACGCCTGTGGCCATATGCTGAAAATGATAGAATCCACGTTTACAGAATTGCATGGAGTAAATAGCAGAGTTAAAAGCTAACACGTCATGGAAAGATTAATTGCTTGTAACATCCATTCTGGCAGCCAGCCGAGCACTCTCCAACACTTGGGAATCAACCACATTTTTGAATGCCACTCAGATGAAGTGGGCCATTAACTTACATTATCTTAAATCTGAAGTAAAGTTCATTCATTTTATGTTGTTTGCACCTTCTCTCACCTGTCTCAAGATAAGCACACTAAGACATCATGACTCGGAGAAAGAGACGGACGGTCTCAGCTGGCCAAACTTCTGCATGAAGTCTGCTTGAGCTTTGATGAGAGCTTCCTCATCTATGTAGACTGCCGGCCTTCTTGCTGCGACGAAGTACTGCAGCTTCCTCAGGGGCCAGCAGAGGACATACATGAGAAGGCCACACACGGCTGCCGTGGACCTGCCGACGCCGGCGTTACAGTGAACGTACACCGTGTGACCATTCTCCAGGAGGCCGTGCAGCAAAAAAACAGCCTGGGGAAGCATCCGGATCCGACCTGCAGGGGAGAAAAACATTTCAACAACTTTGGGATTATCGTCATGATCTGTGGCTTTTAGCCTTTCAAATAGCTTCTGAATGAGATTCATATAATACAAAATAATACCTATTAAACAGGGATAACTGTTTAAGAAGTAGTATTTCCTTGTAAATGATTAGAGCTATGGGTATTTTCAGATGCTTTCAGTGCCATGGACTGTCCAAAATGAATCAACTTATTTTCAGTATTTCTGAAAAGTGTTTCAGTGTTTCCTTAGAGAAAAAATGCTGCCAGTTGTTTAGCTCACACAGAAAAGATGTAGTTTCGGCATTATAAAACAGGGTTCAGAGTCTGGACGCACAAGACTAATATGGGTCGTTCGCATTTTTCCTCTTTTGTTCACATTTATCGGGAAAGCCTGAATGGCACTTTTGAGACCGATAAAACCCACGAGATACTGCACTGTGTGAATGATTCTTCACATTGTGGTTAAACAAAAAGCTGGAAGGTCGTTTGGAGCTATGTGTTGGCTAAGACTCTTCGGAGACTCATTTCTTGAGTCAGTGCACATGGCAGGGTTTTAAATTTAAGGCTCTCCATTCAGATGACTGATAGTCATGGAAGCATTTTATATGCAAGTGGAAATGTTTGAAGATTTAATGTGGCTAAATACATGTTCAGAGAGAAATAAAACAAACAGTCTCTAATGAGATAAATATAACGTGTCCCTCACTGGGGACATTTGAAGCATTATTAAACAAAAAGACTCAAAATGCTGTTAAATGATTAGTAAAAACCTGGACTGTAGATAAACAGCCCTGTTCCTGAAATGTGCGACAGCTAAACCCTCCGTACCCTCTGTGCTCATATCAGGTGTGGGCATCCACACATAGGCGAGGCCACAGTCTTGGTATAAATGCATCATGGTCTCCGGGGTCATGGCCTCGTCGGGGTCGCGCCTGCAGCCGTTGGAGTTGTTTGTAATATCCAGCTCAGTCTGGAAGTTCATCACCGCAGTGATGCCCAACTCATGCCTCATCTTGACGGTCACATGCTCCACCTGTCGCGGGCAACTGCCCAGCCAGACCCTCGGCAGCACCCTAGGGTCAGTCAAAAAAAAAAGAAAAAAGAAAATGTCATCTCCACGCAGACACAGAAGATGAAAAAATATTTTCGCAACTCTAATTACCAATAAACCACAGGTTTTACCTCTATTATCTTTTTCTCACCCTTCTCCCAGGATCACTCACAACTCTGATGTTTTATTGACCTCCTGTTTTTCTAATTTTCTTCCAGACTACTATAGCTTGAGGCTTAATCCATTTAGTGCTCATCAGTATGCAGAATTTCAACAACCAGACGAGGCGACCCGCAAAAGGCAGAAAGAACATTGTCAGTCTTTGGTGTCACAGAGTGACACTGCAGTGGAAATCATCATTTATCATCATAAATCATAATCTTCATTTCTAGGTTTCTTTATTGACATAAGAAATAAAAGCTATGCAGAAAATCTTCATCTGTGGATCAGCTGAGGTGCTGAATGAAATACATTTTTTGAAAAGGTGTTAGTCCCACTAATAGTCAAACAAAGTGAACCAAATGAGGTGAAAATATTTGTGTTCTGTGTTTTTAATCTATTTTTTTACTAAGAGCTTAACAAAAGCACTTAAGAAAGCAGAAACACATTATTTTATCTAAATTACTATATGTTCACCTCTAATGTTGTTAGAATTTGATATCAAAAGGCTTATTTAAACCACATAACCACTATGTCAGTGTGTGAGGAAACTAAAAAAAAAACTCACTTAACCTCCAGTCTCTTAATATGAGCGTGAAAGGTAAGTTACCTGTAAAAGAGAATCTCGCAATGACTTCCAGTGAAGACTGTGTGATACCTGGGGCTACATGGATCGCACACTATGACAAACTGATTTAGAAAGCTATTAATAGCCATGTTACAAAGGCCCTGTGCTTCCTACTGAGCATGGGTCCTTGACATAAGCCTTGTAAGGTCCTCTGGATACAAATTAAAATCCGTTTGCAGCAGCCAGCCCTGCTCATTTTTATGCAAGTTGTGTGCTCACTGCCTCAGGGATTGGGGGCTAATTTCTGCTGTGTCTGCTATGCCATGACACTGGGTCTGTGCCCTACAAAAACAGGGCATGTGTAGGTCAAGTCACAGCATGCTGGACCAATATTTGAGATTTCTTAAAAACATTCAAATAAAAACAATTATCCTTTTTAGATTCTTGTTAGTTTTTTTGGAAGCTATCTCTACTGTCTTAACACCATCATCTACAGTAATCCCCCAGAGGTTTCTGAAGATGCTGACCAAAGGGTACAAAACAGCCACAGGCCATCGTCTCTGTTGAAGCAACTGATCAAATATGACACTTTTTATGGATGTTACAAGGCGATGCCTTTACTTTCTTTGAAAAAAATCATTTTAATCAGCAAATGCATTCAGGCTGCAGAGGGATCAGGAAAATTTAATTAATCAAACAACATTTTTTTGTAAATGTATATTTGAACAAATCCACCACAGGTCAACACATTAGAGATAAACAATCACTCACACTCATTCAAAACACCGGTTAACTTATGCTGTTATGTTTATATAAAACATCATATATTGTATTACACACATAGCCGTCTATCTATCATCATAGCTCATCAGCACAAATAGCTCATACCAACTACGTGATTTGGGATAATTTTGCAGGTGCAGAAGGAACACCTTGTAGTCACTGAGTTGATAATGAACAGATCTGAGTAGAAAGTATTTCCTTGAACCTGTGAGCAATAGAATTAAAACATTGAAATAAATCATTACACTTAGGCATGGCAATAAATTGGCCCACCGGTCTGTAATAAAAATCTTTCCTGCTCACATGACTGTAGCCAAGCAGAAACTACTTTCAATCACTACTGAGCTTTGCTTTAGAATGAAGACACAGAAGCAGCTAAAGTTAGAAATAAGATCAGCAAAACTAATTCATTCAGTACGCATATCTCTGCAAACTTGCCATAAAATTATTTTCATCAAAGCTATATCATGAGATCAGCAAGAGGTCTACACTGTTTTTATTACACTGTTACCTGGAGCAGTGTATGGCCTTCTGACCTGCCACCTTGAAGTAAAAGTTGGTGGTGTGTCTCATCTCGTCTGTGTGACCTGTCTCCTCTATCCAATGACCAATTGGGTGGCAGTAAACTCCATCCACCACATCCCTTTCATCATAAGAGCAACACCTGTCATGGCTTGGTCCGCTGCCTGGTGACAAAGATGGAAACCTTTCTTCATTTAAATTGCAATTTCACACAAATGATCTTGTGTGAAAGATTTTTTCTTTTGTATTAAACAATTAAAATGATATTATATTACACAGGAAAATGTATGTCTTCTAACATTAACAAGTGATAAATAGTAACTCATGACTGTTAAAATTATCAAGTATAAGAACATTCCCGTAATTATTCACTTTCACGGACATTACAGCTATCCAAAGACTCAAGATCACCTGAATAACATAAAAAATGCTTCTTGCATGTTCGTGAACTAAATCTACATTCCCTTGTCTTTGCCGCCACCGTGTGGCCGTGAATATGTATTACACCAAACATGGCGGACATTCGGGCCTAAAACATTGAAATCTTTAAATAGAATTTCGGTCGTTTCTTCTCAGCGACTGCATCTGATATATTTGATGCAGGTGCATACCTTCCCAGATAAAATCTCCTCTGACTCTTTTGATGAATTTGAACCATAACTGATCTCTGAACGGCTCGGCCAGCTGCACGTCGCCGGTCCACAGACAGGGCTCGTCAGGTGACGGCAGGGCGCGCGACGCCTTCATTAGCACGGCTCGGTTCGGGTCCCACTGGCCCATTTCCTCACGCGAGCCCAAAACTAGAACTTCTGTGTCCGAGGACTCTGGCGTGAGAATGACGCCAAATCTGAATAACATTGGCGCAGCTTTTTACGGGTCCTCAGTGGTGAGTTTGGGTTATTGTTGTCCGGGTTAAAGCGCTAGTTTAAAATTTTCTGGACCGCACGCGAATTGTTTTGGGTGGTCAGCGAAGGCGTATTGGTCAGAAAGAGGTAAGCTGCTTCGTTAGTGTAAATATAAAATATACAACTTTGCTGAATTTAATGGGAAAAATAAGTATTTATTCTATATTTCCCTCAGTAATTTTGACTATATGTTTAAATATTGATTCCAAGTCCTTTATATACTGTTCTAGTTCCTGACTATTTCAGAGTATTGTTTTTGTTTTGTCTGCGAAACAATCTCGTCAATCTTAAAGGATGAGCAGTGTTGTGTTCACACATAACAGACAACTTTGACTCCCCCGATTTTGTTTATTCAAACTGTATTATAAAAGACTTGTTGCAAAACCAAATAATCGATATTTAATGTAAATGTCAAAGTTAAGATGGTTTTATATGCTTAAAAAATGCGTATTTACAAACAAAAGCCTGAAAACGTTGCACATCTCATCTGCCATCATATACTGTTTATTCCCAGCAGGGTCATGGGAGGGTACTTTAGGAAAAGTCACCTAACCTCAGATTGGAGCATTCACAGGCCTGATAGAGTGATATAATATGAAATTGGCTGTTGCTAATTAAACACTGGTAAATATACAGTAAATGGTGCTTATACATTTGAACAAAAACTTTACTAATAGGAAGGAAGAGAAGCACACAAAAATCCTTTGGCCACTTTTGCTTATTGAATACAGCTGTGAATGAACTATTCTGGTCTCAGTTTGTTAAAGCAGGTATGAAATTCCAGGTTAAATTAACTTCCTTTCATACATGTGGCTGCTGTTCTCCTCTGTCTATCCTAAATGGCAACACTGTTCTCTATTAGAGCTGGGTTCAGGTATGAGTAGGGTACTTCCAGTTTAGAATTTCTTGCCTCTATTTCTTCCCTTAAATAGGACAACTCTGCTTGAAATTCCTCAATCATCCGTTTCAGCGCAGGCTCATGGAAACGCTCTTCAGGATATGCACCCAACGGAACCTGCCGTTGGGTCAGAGACATTGAGGTCAGCTCTTTATTCATTGAACTTTTTTTCAAATGTAGAAAATAACGACTCACATACAGTCTGCTTTATGTGTGTGTTCATGAATTAGAAAATTTACCAGGTCAGAATACTTGTTTGAGAGTATCCAGGCCATTGCTACAAACTTGACTGTGTCTCCAATATTTGGGAGGACCTCGAGAACCGTCTTCATGTTGGACTGCCCCTTGGTGGTTGGAGGGGGTTTGAGCAGCAAGAGAGAGCCATTGGGCAACCAGGAGTTGTAGTCAAACTGGAATATGACAGAAGCCTCTTCTAGCATTCGGGACTTTTTCTGGCTTTACAATATTCATTTGAACTACAAGGGAATTGCACCACTACAATGTTTACCTGTCAAAAGTATATTTGAAATTTTGACATATTTTTTTGTCTCTATGAACGTTGACTCTGAGCATTATTCCCCACCTGTCCATTGTTGACAGCGGCGTGTTGGACTGATACAGTGAAGATCACCATTGTGATGAACTTCCCCACCTCCTCTGCAGTGCTGAAGCATGCTGGAATCCCTGTTAGTAGAGGTATGATTAACAACAACCCACAGGAGAAATACACTAAAAAATTATATATGGATGTGTTATGTATACCTGAGTGTTCGTTTCCCAAGAAGCCATGTGTGAATATCTCACTGATCCATTCCTGCAGCTCAGTGTCTTTATTCACGTCTTCGTCTGAGGGGTAATAGTACGCCACCACAGACCTCACAAAGCTGTCAAAACAGAACAGTCATTTCAAATTGGTGATATAAATGCAATGGGCAGGAATTCTGAGGTAAACACAAAATCTGCTTATTTCAAATGTAATCTTCACCTGCTGATGCTATTCCACAACTTCAGACCATCATCTCTGTAGTAGAAGTTGGGGATGGACTCCAGTCCTCGTGCAGTGATGTTTTCCGGAAGACAGAGAGCGCTGTAGGTCAGTTTTGACAGATTCCTGACCATGAGCTCCTTCACACCCTCAATTCCAATTGTGCTCTTGAAGTCACACATCCAAACACAGTTATACATGATGACACTTCTTGAATTTCATCTAATCAAAGTATTGTTAGTGATGTGATAAAATGTTTGAGTTGCCTCCATGTTTGAGTGGTCAGGGGTGCACTCTTGTTAAAATGATCATACCTCACTCAAAGCCCCATCAGGCCCCAAAAGAGACTGGCGGGCCCTTGTGTTTATATGCAGTGTGTAACGGAAGTGTGGGATCAGCAGCTGTGCAAAGAAACAAATACAGAAATTAAAGAATAAAAAAGAGAATGTGGCCCACATCGGATGGTGCACCAGCTCGGTGGTGTCAGCTGATACCTTGAAGAGGGGATGAATGACAGGAAAGCAGCGGAGAGCAGCAACTGTAAAGACTTCTGCCAGATAGTGAGTGTTCATGAAGTGATGGACCGCCTGATATTCCATCATGTCTGCACTTTTAAAAAACATCTTGGCCAGTAGCCAGTCCGTCTCTGTGTCACTAGGCAAGAAGATGGGATTCTGCTCGGAAGGATGTTGATGCAACTGGAGGGAAAGTCACAATTTTATCATCTGCACAAGTGCGCTGGCTTCTTAAAACTGAAATATTTTTGTAATATTGTTATCAAAATTCTCGCAATAACTTTTCTTGAAGTTCTTAATCTAAAGTCGTTACAGAATGATTTAAATCTTCATTCATGCAAAACCAAATTTGAACATTTTAACAAGCTTAAAGTTAATGTTTTGGGATGACCACTGCATTTTTCACAATGCACTTGCACAACTCCATACTGTCTAAGACAAGTAAAATACCTGTATTGCAATGGGCATCAGTTTGGTCTCAGGACTCATGTAGAACAAACATAAACCAGCAGTCATATGTAGAGGACTTCCATCTTTCATCCTACCCGGTATTCCATCCATCATCTTCTGATCACACAGGAATATGTTACCTTTCTAGATGCGACAAAGAATTAGATAGAAGTTGTGATTAAACCATCAAAACAGCAGGACTTAGCAGAGATAACAAATAAAAATGAATTAGAACGATCTTTTCCCAAGCAGTTTCAACAATTCCTGCTTAGATTTAGAGTATCAGATCCAACGAAATGTAATCTGACAAACAGGTTCCCTTAAGATGGAAAGAAATCAGCAAATTTTCAAACCTCCATCTCCTCTTTCAAAGTGCTTCCCTCTCTTAAAAAAGGCTTCACCATCTCCTCTGTGACCGGGAAGTTTGGGGGAAGTTTTGAGCAGCGCTTGATCACATTGGGGTTAGTTCCATTCAAAAACTGGAATCCAAAAAAGTCATCCTCCTTCCAGTGTTCTGCAACGTACTCTGGAAGAGTATAAGTTGATGAATACAGCATTAGGTTTTCACACATGATTAACTAGCTAGAGCAAGACTGATCTCAATTAAATGTTTTTCTCTACCTGACATTTCAGTCTTTTTAAACCAAAAGATTCTTTTCATGTCCTCTATGTCTTTCCATTGTTTAGTGGAGCCAACCAGACCCTTGAACATCATTTCAACACCACTGCAAATAAACAAAAATGATAGATAGTATATAAAGCAAAACCCACTTCAAATTGAAATTTCTGAGAAAAGTGTGAAGTTGCCAATCACATATAGATATACTGTACTATATACGGACTCACATTGTTCTTCTGGTATGAATAACTTCATCTGTTTTGGATGTAGAAAAACGATGTTCAGCTGGAATTTCAGACAAATCTTTGAAATGACTGTAGTGAGGCAGCTTGTCGTCTGAATCTGCCCACCTTAGGAAAAAAAACAAGTTTAAACCAGTAAGCATTCTCACAATAAGATCCTGACCCAAATTTCTTTGGCAGGTGCAGTGAAGCCTTACTGGTACAAGTTCTGTTTAAACTTGAGCTCCTTTTTCCGGTGTTCAACCAGCAGAGCATGCTCCTCCTCAAAAGGTTTCATGGCTGAGACATGAGGACATAGCATTCCAGTTTGTTAAGACAGACTGAAGAGGCTTTTTTATTTTAAGAACATAAATGATCTGTAATACATTTCTTTTAGCATTTTCCTGACCTTTCCCTCCTCTAAGCTCCACTGTTTCCCCTCTGGTGATCCATCTGTAACAGGGGAAAACAGTGGTGTCTCCCTCTGGACCCGCCAGGACTATTTTGGCGCAGTACCACTCATCCTCTGGGAGAAGAAAAATGGGATCTTTCTCCACTTTGACCAGCAGAATTTTCCCCAGAGAACATGTAGTTTTTACGATGTAAGTCCTTGTCTAAAAAATGCAAAAATATAAAAGAAAGTTAAGGTTAGAGAGTAAAAGAACAAACATGTTTGGACATGACAATTAGTGCCCCCACACGGGATTCAACTGTTCCAACTACAACAGAATGTAACTTGCCGTCCCAGTCCGAAAGTCAATGCCGAAGTTGTCCAGCTCGGTGCGTTCACTCTGCCCCTCCGTTCCAAATAAGATGATGTATATGTGGTCCAAGGTCCCTGCATTCTGCATGCTGCCAGTCGTCACCTCCAACTTGTATTCTGCCATGGTCCCCTTTGGGAAATTGCCACAAAAAAAGCTAACAACATTTTTTTAGATAACACTAAAAGCACACAGGCAGCTAACTTACCGAGTGCTACCCTGCAAACATTAGAAAGAAAGAAAATACCACCTTTTGAAAATGTTATTGCGGTTTTAGTTACCTGACGGAGCTGTGGCAAAACTTAGTCCTATTCTCAAGAAAAAATGTTAGAGCATACAACAAACACCTTCACGTCGAGGCTTTTCAGCTGTTGCTCAAGGTCCTGGTCTCCGATGCTCCAGCTAAAACACAGTCAGTTACTGGTATCTGAAGGTGATCACAGCTGAATACAGGATAGTTTATTCCATGGCACAGATTGAAGTCAGCCCTGAGACGAATACCAACCCGCTGCAATGCACAGAATGATATACTCCCAGTTTCTGGTGACGCCCCGCCTGTTTCTTCAATGTAATTTATGGAGGTTGACAAGCAACACTGAATCCAAATAGCTTCCTTATGGCTGAGTGTATGTTGCAACTGCTTCAAGCATCTTCTGTCATGTCTGCCTGTCAGAGGGTCAGAAGTCCTTTGTGGAAACAGCCCCCTTCTGCATCGAACCCCATGTTGCCTCTAAGTGTCCATCATAGCATGACTGACAATGCAGAGAAAAGGTTTGTGCTCAATACGGTCAATTTACCAGGTATGCATAACTAGTTGGTTTAGACCTTGAACTCAGTAGTACCCTTACACTGGATTTTGCACATTTATAAACTGCATCTTATCATTTTGAATATGATTTAAAATTTGTGACAACTCTCCTATTCCTCTGTGGTTTTTGTTCCCCCAACTCTCACGTAATCAGATCAGTGGTTAAATAGTTTTAAACCACACAACACAATCCACAACAAAACATGTTTAGAAATCATTTTTTAACACAGTCTAAAATAGCATCTTTTTCTTTTTAACTATTAAAACAAACTAATTTTAACAAAGCCAATTCAACAGAACCAGGAATAGGAGGGAGGTGAAAAGAAAAACAAGTTGGAAGAGAAAAAACAACCTAAAAGAGAGAATGCGGGGTATGTGTAATGACATAATCAGATAACTGGATGTGCTGATTAGAAGCAGTAAACATGTGGTATAAGTGGTATGCGGCCCAGCTGAGTTGGTCAGGAAACAGCGATGCAGGGTGAGGTAATGAGCTGCTCATTATCATGATTCTTTTCTGCCAAGCATTACACCAAGATCGATCTAAGAAGGAGGACCAGAAATACAGGCACTGCAGCCTGTGAGAGCTGAATGAGAAAACCAGAAAAAAACAAAGTGAAGCTTTGAAAAAAAACTAATTATTTTGCAAACCAAGGAAACTATCATGGTGAATGTCTGGGTTAAGGACATTGTCGTGACTCATTACTCATGACAAAACACTGTCCTGTAAACCTGATCTCATTTGCTGGAAAGCTGGAACCTGTTTTCTTTGTGACCTATATGTCTTAAAGAGTTGCTCAAAGTGCCAAAAACACCACATATGGTAAAGGTTGTAACCCTAATCATATATTTGTTGCATGAGTTGTAAAAATGAACTAGGTTTGAGGTATAATGCAATTTGTTTTGTTAAAAACATGAGAACTCTCTGATGTGGTTATTCCAAAACTTCCACAAAGGGAGTCGTATTTATGTTTTAATACCCATGCCGGTTAGATTGCCTTAAGCAATCTTTTTTTGACTGCTCTAAGTATTAATCACTCAAACAAATATGGAAAAGGAAGTAAACATTTTATTAAGTGGTAGCAAATCAGATTCATTACCCGGCAATCCAGCTGTTGTTTTTTGATTCCCTCTGTAGGGACCAAAAAAGATCAGGTTCCTGAATCGACTTGGAAGAGGTTAACAAATATCTTGTAAAGTGCTGGGATAACTTCTGATACAAGGAAATAGTGCGACACAACCAAAATCTGCCGTTTCCAATGGCTACAACTGAAAGGCAGAGCAGTGACAGATTTCACTTTAATATATCATATAGAATATCATAAATCTACTGTTTTGTCAACAAAATATATCTGATCAACCATAATAAAAGGTGCACTTTTAGCACAAATCCATGCGATGCTGGATGCTCTTTTTTTTTTTCCTTTTCTCGTCTTCCCTACATAGACACCACCCGTAACAACCCTGGCAAGTAGTATTATTTCATTAAGGCTTCTTCATAATCTAAAGTCATACTGGAAGTGTTCAGAAATGTTCTGTTGCAGCATCAGACGTTCGGGGCGTCTGAGGCAGCTGCCGGACGTCGGCCTGGTCCGGTCAGGTGTTGACATGGCGCAGGACGCGGCGGAGGGAGAGTCCATCCCGCGCCGTGCACATGGCGGGAAGGGGGACGGGCTCGGTCTTCTGCTCCACGAGGTTGAAGTGGCACTTTTTGAGATGGACTGACATGCTGGGGACGTCTGTGAACGCCCACGATGACACGGGGCTGAAGGCGGTGCTGAATCTCCACACCTGCAGGAGGATGAGGCACATGAACGCAGACTTTGAAAATCACATCCAAATGATGTGAAATTAATGTAATGCATTGAGACACAAACAATATTTTTTATAACATCCTTTTTTATTTTTTACTCACTGTATTTTTGATATGCCACGATACAGTCCCATGGCTGCCTGGACACTGCCTCTGCTCCCACTGCAGCTCCACGATGCCTCTGCTCTGGAGGAGGCTGGCGCACACCTCCCTCATTGTCCGGGACACCAGCGACAGCTGGCACAAGCTGAAGCTGTCCAGGAACCCCGCGATGTGCCACAGTATCTCGATGGGAAGCCCGCTGAACTGGTCACTCTGGGGCTCATTTGGAAGTTTCACCTTTGGGCAAGGCTGAATCCCGAAGGACTTGAGGTTCCTGTCGTGCACCACCTTGGCCCCCTGTGCGGACGGGTGAAACCTCCGCTGGGAGAAGGTGCAGCCGTAATAGGCGAGAGGGCAGCGATGCTCCATCCAGCCGTTGAGGCCGGCGTGGATGTCGCCATGGACGTTTCGGAAGTGAGAGGCGAACTGGTCCCGGCGGAATGACTGGCCACACACAAAGGGGAACATATGCTGGTAGCGGGGGTTAGGAGGGAGATAGCGGTTATGGGGGACTGCCTCCACCTCCAGGGCCTCGAGCACCAGGCCCAGGCGGAGTGTGCGGAAGGGGCTGGGGTAGGTGAGCTGAGGGGCGGCATGGTCGCAGGCGGAGGCAGAGGCCATGTCCCCCACTCTGGTGTTGGTCACCAAGATTGCCGCGGGAAAAGTGAAAGTCTGCGTGCCGAAGTCCACACGGTAGCCGTCCACGTAAACCGTGTCCGAGATCCTCCTGCACTCCCGGGACTCTTCCAGACAGAAGAGCAGGGCGGCCGTGATCAGGTCGATTTCTCCCAGACCCATGGGGTCGTCGTCCTGCTCCAAGTCCGAAGTGTCAACCGCTTTGTCCTCCATCTTGGTTCTCAGTCTGTACAACGACTTGTCTGGCGCGACGCCTATCCTTCCGTTAGATAAAGAATACTGGCCCTGGCTTCTAAAGGGAGGGCTGCCGAGCGTCTTCCTCTCGTGCCCGCAGCTCTCTGGAAGAACAAGCCCGCCATCTTCCAACACAACGCGACCGGGCCTTTGTGCCACCGCCTGGCTGACTAGAATCGGGGAAATCATGCGAGGGGACGCAGGCTCGTGAGATAAACAAAAACTGTCGTCTTGCGCCTCAGCTTTTCCTGACGAGCCGTTGTTTGCGTTTTTAGTCTTTGCGTCTGTTCCTCTCAGGGAAGCATTTCCACTCAAACAGCTGGAGCAAACTATTTTCTCCTTCGTGCCTCCTTTGTGCAAACCCTCAGCAGCTTCCAGCGGCGTGTCGTCCAGTCCGTTCCGAAGGCCTCCGTTGCTGCCATAGCTACTCTTCAGCAGAGCAGCTCCTTTTCTCACACACTCCGGGCCACCTTCACTGTAGCCGGCACTGCTGACAAAGTCTAAGGCAGCAGCTAAACTCCTCGCCGTCTCAACTGTGGCCTCATACAGTTTACTGAAGTGCTCCTCGTTCAAGCCATTAATCCCACTAACAATTTTCTCTTTGGCCGAGCCGGGCGTGGGTGGCTGTGACGGATTTGAGGAGGACGACTGTGAGGGTGATCCAATAAAGGAGGTCGTCTCGGGAGCAGATGTCTGCAAAACGGAGTGTTTTGCGCCGTTCTCTTTAGTGACGTGGACAGGTGCCTCGCCTTCTGACGAGGGTGCCATGGCGATCACTTTCAGAGACTCTAGGAGTGTACGCTGGTCCTGAAGGGCAAGCGCCATGTCCAACTGCTCCACCTCCTCCACTCCACGGCTCAGGCTCTCGTATGAAGTATAATCCAAGCAGCTAATGGGCCACCTGTTCCACTCCATAGTGCAGCAGACCACTCCAGCGGGACACACTTCCAGGTGTGCGTACATCTGGTTGCGCACCATTGTTGCCGGGCAGCCATAGCCACTGTTAAGGCATGGGACTCTCACCAGTGGGCACAGAAGTTGATGCTCCTTCACTTTGCAGGAGTGGAATACGGCCCCACACACCAACGGACATGTGATGAGATCGCAGGAGGATCCTGGTTCTGGTCGGACCATGCACCTCTGGTTCACACAGGACATGCAGTGGATATGATCCCCTTCCATCTTCAGAGCTGAGGGGGTGAAAAGGTGACAGGGGAGTCTGTATGAGAACACAACACCATGTCAAATGGATGACAGAGCACAAGGGATCAAAGACACAACACAGCAGAATATGACCGCAAAGGGACTCTGGAGTAAATACAGCTTTCACCTGCGCTTGTCCTGCTATTTTGAGCCAAAATGTTTGCTGTGGAAAAAGGCTTGCAGTCTACCATTTATTGAACAGTGACAGGGCTTTCAAGATACCATGGAGCCTCATATTGATTTACTTATCCTTGTCTTGCACACTCATGCTTACGTGCATTTACCTCGTCATTTTCCACTGCTGAATGGAAGCTATGAAAGCAACATACCACCAGATGTCACTGTGCTCCTTGGGACCCATGCTTGATTTTAAACCCAGTAAAACATTCTCAAGCATTAAAAGTGAGATTCAATAATTTGAAGAAATAATGGAGGAGAATGAGAGAAAACTGTTGTACTCCTTCTTAACATTAGTGTGTGAAATTTGACAAAGAGAAAAGTAACAGACTTGTGAAAAATGTGCAAAAAATAATGAATAAATCAGAAATGAATGTGCCTTTGATTTAAGAAAAAGCCTGAATAGTCTGATGTGTGGTGGCCTTTTTAAGAGCCTGCAACAGTGCCCCCCTCCACCCTGTGTCCAGGTCCAGAAGAGTCACGTGGGAACCATAAACGGCCGTCTCATGCAAGCACCTTATTAGGAAACCTCCCAGCTCCAAATCTGAGGAGGCTGAAACCACTGCTGTCATTCTGTTGGACATGTTTTTTAAAACCTAAACAATAAACTAACAGTAAACCAGCTTTAAGGCTGTGTGCTCCCACTAGAGAAAAGGAGAACACTACAAATATATTAAATAGTCACTAAAACACTTAAGTGAAGCAATGCAACAAACAAAGCTGGTGAAAACATTTGACCACTGTCACAAAGAAAAGAAACTGTCAAATCTTTTTAATCTCCTTTATAAAGTTAAAATGGAAGTTATTCAAAAACTGGTTAAAGCTTTGTCTGTCTTAAGTATGTTGATTAAGAGCAAAAATGTGTATGACACAAATTCGTTCAATAAGTAACAAATGAGAACAAACAGAACCCGCCTCTTAGATGTCTTTGACATATTTCACATTTCTGAAAATCGTCTCAAGGAATTGGAACAGTTGGAAAATATCAAATATGACATCAGATGTCGGATTATTTGGGTGAACGTCATGTTTCTGATAAATAATGTTCTGCATCGAGGATGCAGAAAGGTCCAGCTCTGTAACGAACATCAGTGTGTCAGAAAAGAAAAGCAATCCGACTCAAAAACACGTCGTACATACACACTAGCCACATGTTTGTTCACCCATCAGCAAAGCTTTGGACAGCAGAAATCAGAGCATGCAAGCTTAGGTTAAGAATAGCGTATTTTATAGAAGAAGAAAAAAACCCAGTGTCAACATGTTGATAAAACTCGAAGTTAACTTGAACCAAAGCACTGTATAAAAATCTCCAGGGATAAAGGTTAATTTACTTTCATGTGCATCAGTCTGCTGAAAGCCCGTTTGCTGTCAGCTGTTCTTTCACGACTCGAGCAACTTGTGAGGGAAACAATGGCAGGCTAGCTTACACTGACCCGGCTAATGTTGGCTAAAAACAGCTAGCTAGGTCGGAAGTTGACCGGCTCAAGCCAACTTTAGCAGGACAATTTGCTGGCATCCGAGGTGCTTCTCACCTGGTCGGCGTGTCGGCAAAAAAAGGCTGAAAAGATGTGGTTGCCCGTTCTTTATAAATGCAACAAAGCTGGCTGTTAACTGGAGTTACCTCTAGGGGGAAGCTGCTAATGATAGCTAGCTAGTTACATACATCTCTTCTGACTTGCCCTCCCCCTTTTTTTCTCGTCAAAGCTTTATTGAACAAACTTCACATCCGCTTTACAATGGTTGGGGTAAAGGGTAAAATAATAATGAGCAGTTTAAGTTTAGCAAAGTGAAATGTGTACAAATTTTAAATAAATGCTTGTGAAATACAAAAGTTAATAATTCACGTGATCATTTTTAGTTCTGTGGTGACGTGATTGTGAAAGTAGAAACAGATCTACGAATTTGACTGGTAAGGATACATATATTAATTGGATAAGGTTTTTGTTGGCCAACATTTAATTTAGGTTGATTCCCAATCTGCACTGCCAAATTTCCATTTCTAGTTTCCAATTTGGAACATTTGTGGAATGCTGTTTCTGGTATAAGATCTGGGGCAAACAGACCGTTTCTGTGTAGAACTGAAACAAATAAAATTGGAAAACAAAGGAGAAAGAAAAGAAAATATTAAGAAAAAACGGTCAAGTGTGACTGAAATATATAGGGTCAGAGCAATGAAAAGCCCACCAATCCTGTAAAGTCATTCTACTAAATTAAATAAATCTCAGCACACAGAATACAAAGTGCAATAAACACAGACAAACAGAAGAGGGCACTGTTACACCACTTCCTGTTAAGCTCAGCATCAGACCAACATGGGACTATTCTTCCAGTCATCAAACTTGATAAAGACACCAAGACAGTCTGTATGTTAAAAGAGAGGCTTGTGAAATCAATCGTAATCATTTTCAGTTACAGAAGGTATTTAATCTAATGCTTACATTATATGTAATCATTTCAACAACAGAACATGCTGTCTTTAAATCCTTTATCATCAGAACATGAAGGTCTGTTTGCCTCAAAATTTCATGATTCCCCCCCACTTTAAAATTCCTATTTTCATTTCAATTCTCAAAGATCAAACACACAAAACCGGCTTTCATCTTCAAGCATGTAATAGCTGAATGAGACATCAAATCAAGACGCCAAGGTAATAAGGACGGCTGTGCAGTGTGAGTGCCAACACTTTTCACTAATTGTGTTTAGTCTAAATTAGAAAACTTATATCTATGTTCTTGCAAATGCACGTATGGATAATGGAAAATCCCCCAAACTTAAAATGTAACAAAAAGTGTAGTGCTTAGCTTATGTAAATCCATCTTTAAGACTGTCCACTCCACCTATAGCACATTGCCGAGATGATATGACAGTTTAATTAATTGGTTGGATGTTTCTCGGTCAGCCCACGCAGACCGCAGTCCCTGAATAGAATAGTCTCACCGTTGTCCTTTGCCCTGAAGAGGGGCTGCAGCGTCTAAATAGTCGCCCCTTCTCAAACATGTCACTTTTACTTAGGTTCAGTATCAGAAAGATTGCTGCCTGAGCCTTGGGCACCAGTGTCACAGCAACTCCTTCATAAGTTTATTTGTGATTTATACCGCCTGGCGTGAGTCACGACATGACCCCATACCACGCAGTTCACACCCCCCCGAGGATGGGGCCACGTTGAGAACACGTAGAAAGGCCTAAACTTAAACCGCACTTTCTGTTTCACCGATTTGGAATAAAGCCGTGTCAAATGTTCGATACTGTGAGAATGCAGGAAAAACACATTCACCTTTTGATGTCCCGTGTATCCTCTGGGTTCTTTTATTGATGTTTCCCAGTGGAAACACCTTTTCCTACAGCTTTCCTAAGTCAAAGCAAAGCTATGACTGGCATCCATGTCCCTTATCCAAACACTAGATGGAGCAGTGGATGGATTTAGCTGCTGTCCGTAGTACTGAAATGTCTCTATCTTTCTATCTAAAGAATTGAATGACACATTACGATGTTAGGTGACATATTTGTAATTTTGTTTAGCCGTAAGTTTGCCATCCATTCCAAATTAAACATGTCAACCCAGAAACATGCAGTGAGAAGGATGGTTTGATTAGGTACTTTCCCTTGAGATTCTTACAGAATGAGGTTTAATGTTCATGCATATTTATTTTTTTATGAAATATAAGATGTGACAATACTGTAAGTAATGATCTGCCAAAAAATGGTGCTTAGTCTGAAGATGCATACTTGAAGGTGCGCTGGGAAGGGAAAAAAAGATAATGTGAGTTTTGTGGCAAGGAGGAGGGGTGAGGGGGTCCTTCATTTTCACATTTTGAGTTGAGCGAGCGAGAGGGAGAGACAGTGAAACTCAAGTAATACCGACAAAGACCATCTCGACAGAAGAAGGCTGAAGCCACGAAAGATGTCTCAAGGATTCAGGTAAGTTTATTTTTTCATTTATACACCAGAAACAGAACAAGCAGCACAGAAGGTGTGTGGTGTTGATGTGGAAAAGAGACAGACTTTAGGTGACAATTACAGCTGACCATTTTGGTCACATTCTGGATTAAAGATAGTAGATTAGCTCGTTTTTCATTATTCTTATCTTAATTGAGGTTGCTATTGTTACTGCAAACAGATGATTGAGTGGGAGCCTGTCTACACGACACAGAAGAATGCTTGGTGTGTTGGGTCAGGAACAAAATCACTGGAGGCTATTTTCTGCCCTTCTACATGTGGAATCCGGCGAGGGGCAGGTTATAGAATTAGGCTTTTGTTTTCAGGATTTTAATGGATAGGCTGAATGAAAATCGTGAGGGGTAATGAAAGGATGACGAGCCCAGGCAATGTCCCAACAGACGTCCTTGTAACGTGTTTGGAAAGCGCGCTGTCCGCGGTGCTGAAATCAGGAATCTCTCTGATTTTCTCAATAAGCAGCAGGAAGAATTCCCGCACCCTCACAGGATGCGTGGTTGAGGGGTTTTACAGGAATGCTTTTTGTTTAAAAGAAAAGAAAGGGAGACTCGATTTTCTGATCATCCAAAAAAAGAATGACTGTGATCTGGCTGTTGAGCTGCCGGCGTGGGTGCCTTGCTAAAAGGCATCTAGTTTAATAGAGAGATGTGAGGAATGCAGGCTGTAAGAGCGTTGATTGATAAGAGCACCGAACCCATAGCCCATACGAACGTTTGGCATATATCTGGACCCTCCGTCCAGTCAAATCACAACAGTTTGTCTGGTTTCTTTTTCCCCGCAGGTGCGCGTGGATCCACTCCAGATGCCGTGGCCACAGCTCGTGGCTGGGATAAACGCAGAAGCCCTGACACGCAGCAGATAATATGCCTCGGCTCGCTCAACGTGGCACGATATGGCACGCGTAAAGATGGGTCTCTTCGCTCTCTTGTGTCTCCACACGATTCTCCTCCGCGTCCTCGTGCTCTCCCACAGCAGCATCTATGAGAGGTCGGTGGTCCCCCGCGCAGCCCCGCGCTCCGTGGCTCGCATGGACGGAGACGTGATCATCGGCGCGCTCTTCTCCGTCCACCACCAGCCGTCCGCCGAGAAAGTGGCCGAGCGCAAGTGCGGGGACGTCCGAGAGCAGTACGGCATCCAAAGGGTGGAGGCCATGTTCCACACGCTGGACAGGATCAACTCCGACCCCAACCTGCTCCCCAACATCAGCCTCGGCTGTGAGATCCGGGACTCCTGCTGGCACTCCTCGGTTGCCCTGGAGCAGAGCATAGAGTTCATCAGGGACTCCCTCATCTCCATCCGAGATGATAAGGACGGATCCAAGTGGTGTATCGACGGGACCCCGTCCAACCAGCCGCCACCCTCCAAGAAACCCATCGCTGGGGTGATCGGACCCGGATCCAGCTCTGTGGCCATTCAGGTGCAAAACCTGTTACAGCTATTCAACATCCCACAGATTGCCTACTCTGCCACCAGCATCGACCTGAGTGACAAGACATTGTTCAAGTACTTCCTCAGGGTGGTCCCCTCTGACACCCTCCAGGCCCGGGCCATGCTGGACATAGTCAAGCACTACAACTGGACCTACGTGTCCGCAGTCCACACTGAGGGTGAGAGCCCATCACCTGTATCACTGTCATAATGCTCCATCACACGAGCAGTCATATTGTCTTTTAGTGAACAAATGCTGACTTTATTGTGACCTCGTTAGCGTTATGGTATTTTTAATTAACCACATCATCAAAGCAAAGCTGTTATTAAGAGTGACACATAGCCTATAAGCTGTTATATTTATAGAAGAGGCACCCACTTTGACATATCCAGGATCACATGTGGCCAAGACTTTAGAGGTCCTTGGTGTTAGATGCGATAGTGGAAATACATACTGATCCAATCATGTATTTTGTCAATATTATCTTTAATCAGATATCTATATTTGCTTTTTACATATTTGTCTTTTGAGGCAGAACTTTAGTTAATCATACTCATCACAGTAAGTTAAAAAAAACTATAGAACTAAAAATAGAGAGATCATTTTATCATTAAGAATGAAGGTGCTGGTTTTAAGGATTAGATTAATTCCACTGATTAAGTGAAAAGTTTTAAGGACAGAAGACATCGCATTTCTGGCTAAAATGTATAACATACACATTGAGTAATTAAGTCAAGATGAGTACAATATCTTCCCCATAAAAACTTGAATTTAGTATTTCAGGATGTGATTAGTTCACTTTCCTTTTTGAGAACTTTCTCCTTCATTTGTTCAGCGGTGTGTTACAGTGGAGACAGGAGATAAAAGGAAGAGAAGGGTTGGGTAGACAAAGTAATTACTGCGAAATGAATTATGTCCATGGCTTTTCATTAAAGTCTTGGTGAAACACAGTCAGTGATGTGCACCCAAATGATGACTGACAGGCTACATTACCCAGGATCCCCCCCCTGAGGAACTGTGGACTCATGGGGAGTGTAAAACATCTTTGGAAAGTCTTATTATAGTCATGTAGAGGAGATGGGCTTTGACACAGGTTGCTATCAGATAAATTAAGAGAGGGAGTTAGGGAAGTGTAGTACCTGGAGGCTAACCTAGGTGGCATTAGTTGTCTGACCTTCCTGTGGGACCGATGACAGACCAATCAGGGATGGGGGAAATGGGTTGCAATTCAGCTCACTGCTATGTCATTTAAATGAGAGTTTTATTTTCTTTGTACTTCTTTTTCACTGAAAAAGACTAGTGAGAAACAAATCTTCAGAAGTCTGGAGTCCCTGCAAAGGTTTCACAACTGAGAGCTGACTTATGATATAACCTGACATTGAGCGTGTATTAACCTGTATCTCTTTTCATCTCTGAATGTGCGCTCACAACTTGAGTTTCACTGACTACTACGCTAGACAAGTCATAAATGCGGCTTGTTGCCCGTAGCAACAGCCAAGGCTGTAAAATTGCATAAATTACCTGTCTCGATTATCATCTGTGTGGTGGGAAGGCGCAGAGTGTGTTGTTGGTGGTCGTTTTCAAATGGGGTGTCAACTAATGCACCGCCACCCACCTGTCTCACAGACTAGGTGGAAAGAGTAAAATAATTGGATATCATTATTTCTATTTACCAGTGGGAGAATGAAAAGAGGTTATTGAAAATACGATCAAAGGACTATTAGAAAAACCAGCCCATCACCCTGTTGTGTGTCTAAGCAAAGCGCCAGACTGATGTCTATGTCAGCTGCTGCTCTCTTTGTCATAGAAAACCCTGCCCTGTACAGCGTAATTGTTCCATGTCACCTATTTAAGGGGAGCATGGTGTAGAGTACGAAGCTGGGCTACTAACGTTACAATTGAATAATGGTTGTTTTTAGATTTGGACTGAAAGGTGGGTAGAATTTACTCAAAGCCATGTGAATATTCAGACACAATGAAGTGCTCCCGCGCACACAGTGACCGGTTTGTCCGTGCAGCCCACCTCTCCGGCTGTGGTGCTGCGGGTTTCATCAATAATTCCGGCTGTGACACATTTGTCAAGCGGTGCGGCCCTTGCAGAAGCAGACGGGTTTGACTCAGACGGCTTCGCAGTGCGCTTGATTGGGGAGTTAAACAATGATGCCATCCTCACCCCATTCGGTTGTGATTGCAATCAGTAGCTGAGGCTCGTTATCAGTGGATACGAGCCTCTGCTCCCACTGCATGTGCATCACTGAATCACAGTCTGATGCAGTGAACGACTGCTTAGGGAATGTGCTATAAGCAGAACCACACAAAAGATGGCATATCGAGTTTTGTAATCAACAATAAATTGTGCCACAATAGAGAAGTAATTTAAAAAAAATTCTTTGGATAGTTTTTATCTTTGCAAGGACAGAATGTTCTCGGAACTAAATTCTCACTTTTCTCACCGTCTGTTTGCTTCATCGTTTCAGGAAACTATGGAGAGAGTGGCATGGAGGCCTTCAAGGAGCTGGCCTCCCAGGAAGGCTTGTGCATCGCGCACTCGGACAAGATCTACAGCAACGCTGGCGAGAAACACTTCGATCGCCTTTTGCGGAAATTACGAGAACGCCTGCCCAAAGCTCGTGTAGTCGTGTGTTTCTGTGAGGGCATGACGGTCCGTGGTCTCCTGATGGCTATGAGGCGACTCGGGGTGTTTGGGGAATTCCTCCTTGTTGGCAGGTATGGCTGTAGATGTATTTATTTTACCTTTTAATCTACATTTCAGAGGATCTCTTTGGACAGCAAAGCCTTGTTTAACAGGCTGTGAGACTGTGAGATGCTGTGTTGTCTTCCTTAGGTGCATGTCACCAAGGCAACCAAGGGGAATTCGTCTACATACCAATAACACTGAATAGAAATGTTCTTCAGAAATGACTAGTTGGTATTTCTCTGCAGACACACAGCTAGAGAGGGAATCAATGCTGCAGGTCAATACTTTGATGCACTCTAAAAAAAACACAACCTTGGTAATCGTATATGAGCATGAATACTGTTTATATTGGTGCACATTCAGACCGTTCATCAGCCCTTAGTGGATATTCACTTCAGATCCCTGGTCCATATATGTTTCTGCCTTTCACTATTTGTTAAACAGTGCTGAGTGGCAGAAAGAGACATGCGTTGTAATCTTAGTAATTAGGAAAAGGGGGGGGGGGGCTACAGTCGGTTCCTAAAAAAAGGCAGTGTTGTATTACACAAAATCAACTTAACATCCTCAGCTGTCTGTAGAAGTAGAAGCAGAGTTTCTTCTTCTTATCCATCCACACATTCACTACAGATGTTCTAAATGCTGCGTGAGCACATCAGAAATTTGATCCAAAGAGATGTAAAAACTTCGCTCACTGTTCACACGTAATCAGATTTAGTTCATTTTTTTCTTTATGACCGGAATTTACCTTAGTCATCAGGAAAAGATGAGGATATTCATTTCAGAGTGGATAAGGTTATGTTAGGTTTTTACTTCAGCTTGAGATGTTTTTATATGGTCTTATTCTTAGGCTTTTCATTTTTGTCGATCGTGAGAAAACCCTCTATTCAGCTTTGATTGTCAGTCATTAACTTTGTTCATTTTTGGATAATTTTCCACAACACTGTAAACAGAAAATCTTTATGTTTTTATTCTTCGTATCAGAAAATGTACCATTTCCACATTTTTGGGTCCTCCTTTTTCATTAAAGGGATCTGCTTGTTACTTCTTCTGGTTACCAGGAAATTAACAAAATATATAGTTTTCCACATTTTTCCCTCATTCCTTTTCTTCCTTCTTGAAAAAAACTTGCTCGTGTCTTTTTCTTTGCTGAAAAGCACTCTTCTTAGATGTTCCAAAACGACTAAAGAAGAGTATTGTGTGTTTTGTTTGCATTGGATAATCCCACCATGAAAGCTCCTTTTAAAGCACACTGCTGTATATGTGACAGTAGTGGTGCTTTTCAAATGCCTTTAAAATTATCCATTGTAACGACACTCTGGGATCAGCTACATTCCCTCCCGTGCCTCTTTTTTATCACAGCCTATTGGAAAAGTGTCCTTTTTTTAGCTTTAGTGGAAGTCTCCGTGGGTAGAAGACATGCTTCTGGGTCACAGACAAAAAAGGGAAGAGACAGAGTGTGTAAAATGACAGAGCAAGTCTGGGCTAACACAGGTGCTGTTCCGTGTGTGTTACGCTGAATGAATCTGGCAGGGAGGTATTAGCTCATCAAAGGTGAGCCTGCTTTCTTAATCCATGCTTTCACCTCTGAAGAGGCTTTCTTTTTTTGTCATGCGTGAATGTACACAGAGCGACAGAGACTAAGAAAAGTTTAGAAAAAGTAGATTCCATCAAAACCTGTGAACTGATGAGGCAGTTGATGCCACAGCCTTTATTAATGGATGCCACTCGTTTAGCCGATTTAATTGCATTCAGACCAAACCAACCGAACCGTGTAAACGGTGGTGAACCAATCATGCCCCTATGAAAAATCCAATAGCACACAATGTTGAGCTATTTGCACTGAGATAATCGTGGAATACCACAGCGGCAGAGAAACCTCTGCACAGCAATGGCTGCATAAACTGCAAGTGGTTTGAATGTGAGAGCTTTTGTGCTTGCTGTTCGACTAACCTGCTCTTCTGACAAGGGCCAGGTGAGACACCAGGCTTGACCCACTTCACTTCCATGTGCAGACTCCGCATGCATCACTTCAACTATTTACATCCACTCTGTTCTCCTGTTGTTTGTCAGAGAGTCTCTTGTCTGTCCCACTTTGTATTGTGAGTCATTCTTTTACCAGTCAGCTTCCTACTCCCGCATGACACATTCTGATACAGTATTTGTTCCATGCTTTAATCAAGACATGTAGGGTATACACATACAGAAAAAAACACCAGCTGAAAAACATTATGGATGCTCTGTAGGATTAAAAAAAGGCAGAATGGAATGGTTTGAAGATTTCATGCATGAAGAATAACACTGAAGTGTTGAACCATGGCACTATTTCATTAGAATCATTAGCTTGCCTTGAATGCAAAAGTTTGAACAGCGGTGGCAAAAGTTTGGCAAACTAAGTGGATCTAAATAGAAACAGCTAGCGGAACATGTTGCAACCAATTTAGGTTAACTGTGGAGACATCTTAGTAACATGATTTGTCATAAAAGAGCACCCCAGAGAGCAGAGTCTCTCAAATGTTACGATAGGCAAACACAATTTAGGGTGCATTCCCCAAATGTAGGCTAAACTATGTAGTGCAAAGAAGATGTCACATGGTAACATAACCCCCGTAACACTGGGGTGTGTTTTCAGGGCCAAAACATATTTAAAGCAACTGTAGCAGCATTGCATTGTGAAAAAAAATAAAACAAAGAAAATTATGAGCTGTTAAGCAGCTATAATCCTATATCCGACAAAAATTGGACAGGATTCATCCCCTGAAGGTCCAACAGCTGCTCTCCTCAGTTCCAAAATGTTACGTTGCTACTCTGTGATAACTTTTTCAGGACATGCGAACAAGTTAGAAATGAGCCAGCTATTTTTCAGGAAACAGGACATATTCTCACTCTAAATATTTTATACACTTTAATTCTTCAGATGTGAAGTAAATGCTGGGTCATGGCAGTTAATTTCAGGCTCTTTCATTTACTGGTACATCTATTTAAAAGAGTGTCTCGCAGAGACATTAAACAGAAATGACGGAGTGTTAAGCAGCTTAGGAGAGGATCACATATCTGTAATAAAAGTGGTTGGAGATCGAGAAAATGATCAGGATTCTCGAGCTGCGATTTGAGGGTAGGTTTGAAACCGGCCCAAGTAACTGGAGGAAAAGAAAATGGATGAGAGAGACTGAGTAAAAAAAAAAAGAGTAGCTTACAGAGATATAATGAAAAGGAGTGGGCTTAAGAAAGCTGAAGTAGCAGACTGTGCTAATTTAGTTCTCTGATACGTTTAATGATTATATGAGTTTTAGTTGCCTGAAAGATTTTTCTTACACAGATTAACAAATGTGGAGCTCAACATTCAAACCGGCCTGAATATTTCATCGTTGTCTTCTTACTTCACACTAGGCAAACCAATACTTACATGCATTATATCATTAGTCTTTCTTTGCTGTGGTTATTATGTATATATTGTCCATCATATGTAAAACGCCTTCCTTTTGATCCAATACACTGGATCCATAAACATTTACGCTGACCACCAGTAGGAGTTGTTTATACAATATAGTATCTCACAGTTAAAGACCAAAAATGTGTCAAAGTGGAAGTGAGTCATTAAAGTGTGTTATAAGACTTAGGACAAAATAGAGTGGCAAAGTGACATAATTTGTATTTTAGTTCCATGTTTGCCAGATTATGAATCTTACATACTCTATTCAAGTAAACAAAATGGTTTATTTTATTCATGTTGATTGAAAAAAATGTATTTCATAGAGATCCATTTTCACAGTCATCAATTTATATATTCACAATTCAATCAAGTAGTCACCAGTCAGTGTGTGCATGCGTCATTCCATAAAAGCAACAGTGGTCTGTGATTCTAGCTGAATGGTATTCACACGTGACTGAGTTGACCTGGGTCAACATGCAACAATCCCAGTAGTGTTGTGACATTGCCGGAAATGCACAACTATGGAATAAGTGAGATTTATTAGCCTGTCTGCTTGTCTTCTGTTTTTGTTAGCCCAAACAAAATAATCTCTTGTTCATTCAACCATGGCACACATGGCAATATGTGAGATATATTTTATGTTTAGCCTTTCCATAGCACTTTTACTTAAATAGTTCTCCAGAAGTGTGTAATTTCTCTTAAATATTGAACCCTGTCCACAATGTAAGATTGCACTCTATTGTGAGTAAAATAAAAAAAAGACATAATATATAATATTTCCATTAAAATAGAAAAGCTCCAGTACATGGAAGTCAGCATCATTATCACAATTAGGGAATTTGTCAACAAAGGTTCCTGGTTCAAGTCCCCAGGGGACTGGGGACCTTTCTCTGTGGAGTTTGCATATTCTCCTGATGTATGCGTGGGCTCTCTCCGGGTACTCCAGCTCACCCGCACCGTCCAAAAACATGCATGTTCAGTTAATTGAAGACTTCACATTGCCCAAAGGAATGAAGGAATCATGTTTTTGCATGGTTGTTCATCGCTGTGTGGCCCTGTGATAGGGTGGCGACCCTTTTAGGGTGATCCCCACCTCTCAACCACGGTCCGCTGGGATAATCTTTTTAAGAAAATGCAAACACGCAAAATGATTCAGTGGGTTATTTTCAGGATTGATTGATTGAATAGGATTGATTCTTTATTAAGCTATGAATTTAGAAATACATGTGCACCTTAAATAGTATCTGTTAGTAGATTGTTTCTGCAAAGATTTATCAGGGCTAAGGTTATCAAATTCTTGCTGTCTTATTATTACAAAGAAGCTGTTAGTCTTGACTGATTAGTTCCACCTACTCAGTCATACAAAGACATTACCATGGTATTCAAGTCTCTCTGCTGAGCTGTAGTTTTTGCATCTGTTACAACCAGATTTACATTTACTGTAAAGTCTCCTTTGTTATCATTCCCTCCACTGTCTGTTTCCCCGCACAAAGTCAGTTCACCTACTCATTTGCCTGTCTGCTGACTCTCTCGCAATTAACAGCATTCACTTTCTCTCTTCCTCTAAAGCTGCTTGAATGCTGTTATTACCAAACGTCATTTGCATAAGCTGCTTTTTCGGCATGTAATTCTCATTTCTTGCCCGTCTTACACTGGTAGCTTTTAGTCCGGGTCCGATGTCAAATGCTTTAGACTTGTATATTATTTTATTCTTGGCAAAATGGACATTCAGATCGGAATGGGAATGTTCCGCCTCTGTAAAAGCATAACACCAGTCATTAAAAGCCTTAGACTGTGTCTTTTGAGATTGCAGTGAAGTGCAAAGGAAGCTGGGAATCTGTATTGTGTGTCTCACATGGGTTCCTGCATTTGGCTGTCCCATTTAATTTTCTGAGAGGGAGACTGAGGTTTTGCTCCAAGCTTGAATAAATGAAGTGTTTAGGGCTACGCAGAAAGAGACGGGTTGTATAAATGACACATTTCTCTGCCTTTTCCTGTCTCTCTATAGCTCTCGCTTTCTCACAGTCTCTGGAAGGAGTTGCGCGGAGGATGTGGAATTGTGCCTGTTTTCTTTTTCATGCGAGTTATTTGGCAAATAGTACCGCTTGAGCCAAGGAAGACCTTTTCCTGGCAATAGCACTGAAAAATAAGCCAAATTTAATCAGTATCTTTGCTGTGGAGAACTGCAGATGTACCATGGGTCAAGATTTAAGCTGCTTCCAGCTTTCTTAATTAAATGTGTAAAAATGTATCCAATTATTCGAAAACACTTTTTTTTAAAAATTGTGGGGTTTTGAAATGGAACTTTAGGTATTAATGTTTTATTTGTATTTCCTTTGAAACAAGTTGATCCATTTTTATCCAGATGGGAGAAGGGCATATTTTCTTGTTATGCACCGTGGGATTGTTTGACCTAAAACTCCAGCCCTCCTTTCTGTTTTAAAGCAGTACAGGTAAAGCTTGAACATTTGATCTTTGGCTAAACGCGGATTGGTTTTCTCCTTGTAGTCATGCCATGAACAGGACTTTGTTGCTCAACGCTCTGATTCTCAACCTGTTTGCTGAGTCATGAATGGGAACATTGGCCATTGCAGAGATTTCTTTTTTTTTTAAGGCAATTCAACGTCTTTTAGCATTTTTTGTGAAAATATTAAGGTCACATTTATGTAAATATATCGACCATTTTGGAGAGTTCATCACAAAACCCAAATTTTGGGTCACTTGTCTGAGGCATGCCATGGATGAACCAATTTCTGTAAGCGGAGTGGAAAGCACTGTACGGCAGCAAAAGGAAGACTTGTGTGCTGCTTGCACCACAGTCTCCATGGAGATGGCGTTTGACCTCATGTTGGAGCTCCAGTGATCGTCTTGCTGTAGATCTTTTAACACACTATTTCAGTACAGCTCCGCACAACACGAAAGTTTCTAGGCAGATCATGGGGGTGACATCTGAATAAGCCCTCCGAGCAACGTTAGAAACAAAGGTTGCAATGACAATGAAAAGATGAGCAGCTGACAACTGTCCACAGCGGAGTTACTGGGAGAGAAGTGTCTCTGAAAAGTGCATTCAAGTTGGGTTAGGATCTGTGATTAGATCTGTTTGTGTTACACCGAGCACAATGAGCTACATCCGAATATTCATAACACGCTTCTGATGTTAATTGAAAGCAGCCACACATTGTCAAGGGCATCACTCTGCTTCCAACGGATGCCTTGTGTTTCTGTAAAGGGGGACGGCTGAGCGACATCGGAGCGATCAAAAATAGCACACAGGCCTGCATCTGGACATAGCTGTCACATGCTGGTTTGCAGAAGCTGCAGCTCTTTTAGCACAGGCAGTTTGGACTAAAACATGCAAGTCTGACATATGTGCATAACAATAATGCAGGGGAAAAAATTTAACTTTAGTACAGATATTGGCAGAAATAAACATACATTATGACAATAGGCTTATGATAAGTTGTTATTATGTTTAGAATAAAGGCAAAACATTAAATCTTTGGATTGTTGTTTTCAGTTTCACAGTCAACTGAACAGCCTTTGGCTTTGAGCAGTTGTTTCGATTAAATAAAACTGTGTGCTCAAATGTGGTGTAACATATTTCACAACTTAAGGGTAGATAGGCGCACAGTGTGCAATCAGGGAAGAAGAGGCAAGCTATTTAGTGAATTCCCACACATTTAAAGATGCGCTGTTTGGGCATACAATGTCCAGGAGGTAAGTGCATGTGGACTCACCAAAGATGTAGTCAGATGTGTGCATTATGTACAAAGACAAAAAAAACAACAACCAGAAAATACAGCCTCTTCCTAAAATCAAATTGCGAAAGAAGAGCAATTTTGTTTGTGCAATGAAAATGTGCGAGCCCCATTAAACCTTGAGTATTGAAAACAGAACAAATAGAGTATCTCCTTTTAGAATATTTTAAAAAGGCAGAGCCTGTATTCCTCATTACCATTATTACTTCAGTACGCACACAAGTTGCTTTAAGAATAATTTCATTTCTACCTCATTCTATCAGGCCAGTGAGGATACCTTTGGGGCTGCAGTCGATGTGTTTGAAGTTTGAATATTTTTTTTTTCTTCTGCAGGGGCACTTTTCTCTGAACTTGTCATTGATTTCAGAACTGTGAACACCCAAGAATATGTATTTTTCAATTAAATTAGTTTCTTAACCTCACATGAGAAGTCACCACTGCCACCAATGTCTTATTGTTTGTGGCCTTAAAAAGCTTTTCTATACACAAATGATTAGATTATGGGTAGGAAGAAAGTGTCTCAATAAATCAGTACAGAGAATTGGTGATGTAGATTGCTGAAAAAGAAAACCATGCATGCTCTTTATGGAAATATCAATAATGAAAAAAGCGCTCAACATCATTTGAAATGTTAAAAATGTTTGGAAAAGAGTTCCTTCAGCAATGATCTCAAATCAAGGTGTCCTACAAAATGTGGGTGAACAACGGTGGGGAATTGTTTCATCAACAGGCTCCATAAAAGAAGACGTGGCCATTTCATTAGTATTCTCTTTAGACTTGAATGGGGATTTCTTCTTTTTTCTCCCTACAGTGTTCCCTGTTAGCATAGAGGCCACTGATCTCCCCACTCAAACTGGGGCATGATGAATAAATAAAAGTAGCCTAGATGAGCTTTTAAAAGCTCACCAGCCCACCCAGGGCTTCAGTGTCACCACAGGAGAGTCTTACAGCGTATGCTGTGAAGCTGACAAGCAAACACAACTCCTGTTTTGAGTTATGAATAAGAGAATAAGAGGAGCTGAGAGTTGGAAGGCTCAGAAGCACAGAAGGGAGAGGGTCGTTGGAAATGTAGGTGACAAGATTGAAAAAACTGCCAAAACAGTTTTGAATTCATTTTATAATTTTATCAGATCGGCACAGATATGGATTACATGTAGTGATTCCCAATGTGAGGCTTTGGCGCTATAGAATCACATGGCAACGTGTCCATGCTGTCCTCAAAGTTTCAACAGTCAACAGTCTTTCCTGTTTTTCTTAGTCAACAGTCTGTTTGTCACACCACATGCTTATCTTCAGTTGGTTAGAATACCTGAATAAACAACTTAGTTTTTTTCTGGTTTTGCACTTGAAAAGATAGTTAGTTAGAAAATTTGATTTTTGGATTTGCTGTAATTGGCATTTTAATGATTGACAAGTAGACAACAGCTGAAAAGCTTTTTTTTAGTAACCAACTGCACTTTTAAACCTACCCAACTTTTAAATCTACATCTCCAAAAAGCAATTAGGAAACTCTTTCCACTCGCCTATCCTCCACATCCTCTTTTTAAAGTAACTCTTCTCACTCGTCCTCCTGGGAAAACAGCGCATGTGATTAAATCTCTGCCCTGCCAATTAATTTATGACTTCATAAATATACAATTGTGCTATCAAACCAAAACTAGACCATCTAGGAGATACTGCTGTTTACATTTCTGTAGAGTATCCCGTTTCCAACCAGTATTGTTTCTCTAAACAACACCACACTTCATCAGGTCTCAGTAAATCACAGAAAAACACACATTCTGTGGCATATGGCGTATGAGCTGCTGACTTAGAACTGCAAATGAGAAAGAGATGAATGTCGACTTCAGTCATTGAATAAATGCATTTCAGAGTAGTTTGTGCTGTTGAGATCTGCATCGTGCTCGGAGTTCTGCTCATTTTCCATCCCTGTACCCTGAGCAATGATTCCTAAAAAGACCATGGGCCTCTGCATAAACGTTGTGACTTTCTTGTATTCTGCTTATTTCTTCTTATGACACTGATTATGGAAATTTTCATCTAGCAACTGGCAGCAGATTTTCGGAGTGGACTTTGAGTCCATTGTCCAGGGCATGAGTTCCAGCTCATGGCAGCCTACACCAGTTTCCCTCCTCCACTCAGCGAGAGCCTGACTCAAACTGGTGTCCTGTGTACAATTATTATCCAGCCACAAGCTCATCCATCTGCTATGATGTGTCACTGTCTCTTCATCTATTCAGAAAACTTTTTTTAATCAGTATCTATTGAGGTATTACTTGACCCAGTTATTGCACGATTAGATTTTTTATCACCCCACTCCTGATATTAGTTAAGGTAATGAGGTTCTCTAAAAGCTATTATTTGGACAGTGAATAGCAATCACCAAAAGCCACCACCCTCCCGATAATCCAATCTTAAAATCATCAGTATAGATTATAATGGTTTTCAGTGTGCAAAATAATGGCTGTCTAGAAAAGAGGTCCTGTTCAAGATTTGAGGTGTTTTTATTTCCTGGCATACCACCAAAAAGACCCTAAAAATTGGGGGTCGAGTCAAGTGTACAAATTCTTTAGTAGCTTCTATGCTCCAGTCTAGCTGCTTTGACATTCTGTTTGATTTGAATATCTATTGAGCGGGGTGTTTTTATGTGACAATCAGAATGAATTATTCAGTTTTAGTTGAAGGGGTTTTAAAAGTCTAAAGTTACTTTTCCACCGTGGTCTATGGCTCTACTTCTTCCATTTCTTGCCATTCATTAGCCATAAAGATCAGACCACATCCAGCTGCATAGATTTCATAGCCACATAAGTAATGTTAGAAGTCACTGCTGAATAATGTTGTAACAGGGGCACAAAATTAGAAACTTCTCAGTAATCCATTTTCAGAGTGATGATACATATGACTTTTTATTAGGTCTGCAATCATTTCGTGGAGGTGGTCTTTTGTATTCATACTTCCTCCCATTCCATCTCCTGTTCTATTTCTATAGAACCAACTACAGCACACCGGAACAGCAGTGACTCCTTAATCCACTGAAACAGGTGTTCTTCTGGTATATTGAACCCAGGTTATTTAATAATGGGCTTTCCAATATGCCGTGTGAAGGCGTGGAACATCGAGGTGACATTAAGTCAGATTTTGTCCCATTAGTCGTCCCTTGTGTGGCCCGTGAGCTTTGATGAGCCGTTTGGAGCTCGGCCAGACAGCACTATTCTGAGAGATGACTGTGAGAAGAGAGAATGTCATTTTACTGCATCACAAACTTCATTGTGAGACACAGTCAAGCATGTCTTCAGTATGCTGTGCATTATTCATATAGACTGTGACCTCTTTATTTTAGGACTGTCTGCCTTCTTTTCTTCCTATTCAGCAAATACAACAAATAAGGGACTGCACTGAATACACTTTGTTATATTCATTTGCCCCGTCATGTAAGTAGACTTACGATATGCAGTCTGGACATAAACACACATGTTGAAATCATGGTGTGAGGCTTCCTTTGCCTTTCTGCAGTGCTCGAGCTGAATAATAGAGAGAGGGACAGACACTGCATTTACCCGGAGAGAATTAAGGAAATGTGACAAGACGCAATGAAGTCCACATGTTCCCAAGTCCTAAGTCAAGAAAGATGGAGAGGATGTTTCAGTTTAAATGTGCTCTTTGATTTGTCAGCAGAAAAGAAAATGCAACAGGAAATAAAGTTTGGTGTGATTTGAGAGATGAAATCTTCTTTTGTTTTGGTCTATCACATAACACAGTAAGAATTTCTTACTTTTAAATGGAAACTACAGTAGTAATATTCTGTGATCTTAAAATGTCATGGAATTTAGTAAACAAACAAAACTAATAACTACTAACAGAAAACCTTGCATTTCATTCTCAGCTGAAACAGATGAGAATATATTGCTGATTACAGCATATTCTGCAGGACACTTGACTATTTTTCTCATACCTTATGGTGTAAAAATAATTTTTTCATGAAGCTGAATCTGTCTGCTGTGGACACATTTGGTAAACTAGATGGTACAGACAGGCAGAGAAAGGTATTGTTTATTGTTCCTCTTGTCATATTTTTTAACTGTAAGAAAAGCGTACCATGTATATCTTTTAAATTCTTTCTGTGTATGCATCTCTCATAGTGCTCAGTGAGTTCACCGCCGCGTGTTTTTAATGACATTTCCCTTGCCCACAGACATGCAGTGTGTGAGCACATCAGGATCAGAGGATCAGACGTCAGGGTCAGCTGGAGACACTTTAACAACACCTGGTTGACTTGAGCTTTAGTTTTAGGATGATTTAAACATTCTGCACATCTCTTTCTGTTCAATGCACGTGAGGATTTTTCTGGCTTAAAGAATCTCTTCCTGCCCAAATTAATCGGCTTTACCGTGTCTCCTGTACATTCTCACACATCAGTCTGAATGGCTTATTTACCGTGACTGGCAGTAATTGTGGATAAAAATGTCGGAGAATTTGACCTGCACACATCCTTATCCTTCAACCAGAACATCCCTTGTCTGTACAGTAATTGGTTCAGTGGTGAGTCATACCTAATTGGTGTGTAGCTGTCAATAGAACAGGTATTTGAAGGCAGTCGCCCAGATCTCATATTAAAAAAAAACACTGCTGAAAACATTGCTTCAGGGAGAAAGTGAGCTCTGAACAGGGTTGTTCATTTTTTTAGGAGTCCCTTTCACTGATGTTCCCTATTTCCTTTTGGAGCCCACCGGCCAAATGTGTCCAAATTAGCTTGTTGGTGTTGACAGGTTTGCACACAAGGAAACAACAAGCTAGCTGGAGGGATTGTGTAAAACCTGCAATTACAGTTCAGACACCATTGTGGAGATTTCTGCAGTAGAAATTGAGATAAGACACTAAGTGCTGCACCCACTCTAACTAAACTTTATAGAGAATGCAATCTATCTGATTGTGCTGGGATCACAGAAAAGAATTGCATGGCCTTGAGTTTAGGCTGTAATGCAGCAAAAGATTCTTCTGTTTTCCTCCTTGGCCTGCTTGATTAGTCCCCATCAAAGCACTGACAGACAAAAGATGTGATAACGGCATCTTATTTAGTCTTACCTTTTGCCAAACGTCTGTCTTTGTTGATAAGATCAAAGATAATCACTTTATGTCACACACATTCATTATTCATTAATAATAAGAAATCTGATTAAATATTTATGCAAAACCGTTGTGTCCATTTTGGGATCTTGGTGTTTAACAAGATGGCATGGAGTGCTCATCAAGGTCGGGACTTTGACTTGATCGGTCCAAAACATTAGCAATCATTTTTAACCAGTCTTACATATTTCATTTTTTGGGGTTATACACCACTTTTCTTTTACTCCACACAGAAAAGGCCCCACCAGGGATAGGAACCACTATCCTTTTCCTGGAAACCATACCACCGAGCAGCCCAGTCGCCCTAGTATTCTCCCTCTGAGTCTTCAGTTAAGAAAGGGTTGTTTAATTAATTATTAATGAAAACAGACTCAAAACATGACAACACCACTATGTGTCAGAGAAGAGATAACATGTATTGTACCAACAATAGAGCAGCAACTTCCTCATCGTAATTTTGATGTGAGTTTTAAACAGCTTTCAATGAAAAAGTGAGGAATCAGCTGCTAATATTGCTTTTATCTCACAAACAAAACCCACAAATTTGGACTTGAATAAAGGGCAGCAGCAAATGAAATGACAATGTATAAGACAGGAAAACTATCTTCTGAAGTAAAGTGGAATTAATAAAACCTTTTTTTATTTCATTGTTGTCTTGAATGAAGTTATGAATTATGCATTTATTGTGAACAGCGGTGTAGGCTTGTCGGTGCAAATAAGCAGTTAAGTGCAAATTGTATTATACAATGATCCAGTATAAAATAAGTTTGACAGAGACTAGAACACTGTTGATCAGCACCTCTTATTGTTATGACAGTGTATTTTCTCCATCTAAAATCTCATTTTCGTAGTGATGGATGGGCAGACCGTTATGAGGTGGTGGAAGGTTACGAGCAAGAAGCAGAGGGAGGAATCACCATGAAGCTGCAGTCAGAGGTGGTTAAGACCTTTGATGATTACTACCTAAAGCTCCGCTTGGATGCAAACACCAGAAACCCCTGGTTCGCTGAGTTCTGGCAGTATCGATTCCAGTGCCGTCTCCAGGGCCATCCGCAGGAGAACAAGAACTACAAGAAACTCTGCTCCGGTAGGTTTTAGCAGGTGTCTTCACATTTTGTTTTGGCTGAACCAGAGGATAATTTCATATTTGATTGCAAGTATTTTCCCCCCCTCCTTTTATCTTGGAAGTAAGACAAGCTTAAGTTGACTACTCATGAATAATGATGAAAACATTTTTTTCCTCTATTCTTTTTTTCTCTGAATATTCTCTCCACCTGCTCCCAAAAGCTGATCACGGTAAATTGTGTTCTTGGCTCAGCAGAACCAGTCATAACAGCGGCCACTTTCACATGAAAATATATGGCTCAGCATGCTTTTATTTGAATGTTAAATAAAATCAAATAGCGTTCTGTGATGATTGCTGCTATTTTAAAGCAACGCAGGCAGTGCAGTCACAGCTGCTTTTCTGCTTTGTCTTGATTCACTTTTACCTCTTATATTCCAAAGATCTTCAAGGTGGTAAGTGTGTCGATAAAGCCAAAAGGCCACCATTAAGTTTGTTTTTTCTAATGTCACCAGCACTTGGTAAGCATTTGACACCTTCAAGGCTGGAAGAGTTTGACCGATGCTATTAGCATAACACTCCATAATGTTGGATTCTTTGGCAGCCTGATGATAGAAATGTGCATCAGTCAAACTCTGACGTGTAGGGCTTGTTTATGAGAAGACTCTTCACAAAAATGGTCTCGTAGATGTGAAAATACAGACGCAAACTACTTAAGAGATGCTGTACAGTGATGGGGCACCCGTGTTTTTGTTTTTTTTACTGAATGTGCATGTTTCTTCCACAGACTAAAGTGTCACTGTGTTAAATGCACTTTTTAATGAGGCACAGAGACATGATTGGGTAGGAAACATTTGAGGAAACGGCCTCATCTATTTGTTTTTGCCAAATGTCAAACAGTGAGGAAGAGCTCCGTCAGTGACTGAAGCACAACTGGTAGACCTAATCTCTGGCAATTCCTGCTCTCCACATATGTTTCCTATTTGTATTTAATACATCTTGTTTGGATGTTAACACAAGCATATTTCACAGTAAAAGAGAGACCGCCGTCTGTCACAGGTCTCTGTGTCTGGATGAAATTGAATTCTTTCACTCACAAATCGTAAATCGAATCTAAATCCAGTTGTTTTTTTTAAACCCTTTTTCAAAATCTTTCATGGCCTCTTTATTTTTATTTTTTTTACAGGAAATGAGAGTCTGCATGAAAACTATATGCAGGATAGTAAGATGGGCTTTGTGATCAATGCCATCTATGCGATGGCCCACGGCCTCCATGATATGCATGAGGAGATGTGTCCAGGCCAGACAGGGCTCTGTGAAGCCATGGACCCCATTGATGGCAGCAAGCTGCTGGACTACCTGCTCAAGACATCCTTCAGAGGCGTCTCAGGGGAAGAAATTTATTTTGATGAAAACGGAGACACCCCGGGCAGGTAAGAGGATGGAATGGAATGGAAAGACAGTCTTAATATCTTCATTAATCTTTGATTTTGCACCTCACATTCTCCCACTCATTAGCACATGTGCTTAAGCGTACACGTGTGCACCAGTCTTGAGCATGAAAGGATGTAATTAGCTTGGACTGGAACAGATTCAGAGGATGGTCCACTGTGGCAGCCACTTTCACCTCTTTTTCGGTCCAGCAGACTCCATTTGACAGTCAGAAAACACAGCCGTGTCATTTCTCCGTCACTTAGAGGTTCGGTGAACCACATCCTGGTTCAGTCTAATAATCAGTGCGTGGACACTTACCAAACTTAAAGTTGCATGAGAGAATTCTAACATAAAAAACACAGCGCTCCTTGAATGTCTTGTCTTTCTTTCTCTTCCTGTCCTTGGAATGTAGATTAACTCGTTTCCTATGTACATTCAGATATGACATCATGAATCTACAAAGTGTGGATGACGATCGCTATGACTACCTAAATGTCGGCTCCTGGCATGAAGGTATCTTGAACATAGATGACAACAAGCTTTGGCTGAACAGCAGCGAAATGGTTCGTTCAGTCTGCAGTGAACCCTGCTCCAGAGGACAGATAAAGGTAAAAATTCAATCAGTATTTTCTTTAAGTACATTTTAATTTGATCTTGTCAGGGCATAGGCTGGAGGATTTCTACTGCACAACCTGCAGTTAGCGATAACCATTAACATCCATTCTCTGGACACGTGTTCCTATATGTTACTTTATTTCCTTAAAAAGCAAACACACCTGAATGAGTGACAAATTGGTGGTGGGAGGTAATACTTAAAAACAGCAGGAAAAACCCCCACGCACTGATGAGGTCAGCGAGACTGACACACTGTAATTAAAGATTTTAGCAGTAAACAAGACTGAACCCTAAAATCCTTCTCTGAATAAAGGAAAGCACAAATTTTTCAGTGGTGATAGCAGATAGTGTCATCAATGACTTTGTATATCTTGTGTAATTTTTCATCTCAATTAAACAAAAGTGTCCCATGTTGGCATTTGTTCCGTTCGCAGCCTCTCAGTGTCATAAATTTCCAAAATTTCCAGTGGTCAGAAACAGTAATGTCCCCACGAATTCATAAAAGTTCTACTAATAAGGCCGATGCATCCTCAGATGGTAAGAAGTCCTCACACTTTTCTTTCACAAAATCTGAAAGCTAACTCTGTTTAAAATATCAAAGAAAATCTGAAGGAAAAGGGAATACACTAACAATCAAACATGATAGCTACGCTGCTCTACAAATGTAATCGTCCTAAACACAACTTTTGAAGCACGCAGTTGTAAAGTTTGCCCACAGTTAGTGAGGAGAGGGCCAGCATGGCACGGTACATAATAAAACTGGTACTGAGCCCGGTTCGTTGAAATGCCCTCATTAGCTTAATCTGGGGCCGAATGCTTTCTGTTCCCTACACTCTCGAGTGCTTCCCATGCTGCTTTGTTTCCTGCCCCACTTATCACCCTGCTTTGCATATCACAGTGCTGTTAACAGCTTCTCCCGGAGCAGAATGTAAGAGCAGTTGGCCTTGTTTTCTAAACACTCTGTCTCGGCCTCAAGAAGAAGAGGAAGAAAGAAATTGCACAAACTCCACCTCGTCTTTGATATCCCTCCGAACCTCATTACTTATTTAGATTGCTTTGGGTGTGCTGTACCTTTTATCGATGCTCGAGAATTGCCAATTTGAGAGTTGCTAAACTGTTTCTCACCCCTCTTTGTTGATCCTCTCCGTGCGCAGGTGATAAGGAAGGGCGAGGTGAGCTGCTGTTGGATCTGTACCACATGTAAGGATAACGAGTTTGTCCAGGATGAATTTACCTGCAAGGCATGTGAGCTGGGATGGTGGCCTGATGAAGAACTGGCGGGTAGGTGACACGACCTGGACGACCCATGGCCATTTCCATTTGATTCACTTAACAACGTGATTTTGACATGTGTGCTCTCAAACAACCTTTCGCCTCATCATGGGTACCACAGTGAAAACATTACCTTCTAAAATATCCTCCTTCTCCTCCTCCTCAGTGGGGCTATGCATACCATAGCAGCCTGGCAGCCTTTTTTTTGCTGGTGCTTTTCACCAGCAAAGTGCTATGCCCCTGCTCTTTTATAGCATCCTCAGCCTCATTACTCCCCCAAAGGTGATACCGCGCACTTTCCTCCTCTGTGCTCTTTGCCTTGTTGTAACCCAGTGGTTGTTTTGACAGCAATTTATGGAGTTGAGAGGAGCCCTCATTTCCCAGGTGTTAAATCTTATTGCCAGGAGAGGCTGGGGAACACGTTTGAGCAGTCTGTTGAGGGGGGAAAAATCCCTTGAGTCTCATTAATTGTGAGGAATAATGATAGAGATGATGATGATGATGATACATATATGGAATTCATTTTAGTTTACCTATATGATTATGCGGAGTAGGGTTCCTTCATCATGTCATATTTAGCACGATCTAGCAGATTTGATTTTGAATCACTCAGTGGTCTTTTTCTTTTTTTATTACTGACACTTTACAACAGTCGGCAGAGGATTGAATTGTAAAAAGATAAAGTATTCCATTTTTTTAAGCCATGGTCCATTTGTTTCTGGTGGGGCCGGTGCCTTAGGTAGCTAAATAGTACGCTTTAAACCTTTATACCTCAAACGTTTTACTCTACCTTTTTAAGCCTCCCCTTTGTACCTTTCATATTTTGAGATTACCTACTCAGCCAGTCTTTCAGTCGCAAACAACATAACCTCTTTTAAAGTAACAGATTTCTTCTGATTGGACATTTTAGACTTCAGCATGCAGGTCATAACAGGGTTTCTCAGTGAAGTCACTTTAATGCTATTAGCAACAGCATGTAATTTATGGAGTTTTAAGTAAGGGAAGTGGAGGCATGTCACTTTTTTCTCATTAAGCTCTACAAAATGTCTCCTCGTGTAGAATGACAAGTATGCAACTAATGCATCATGAAAGACACACATACCCACATGATGCATGTACGTACACATGAATACCTGGCAGATATCTGACAGAACGAGAGCTTTGAGATGTGAGGAGACGCGTCCATTTGTTTGGGCAAAATGGGCAAAATATCAGTGGCCCCTAACGATAACCCCCTAAAGTTGTTGCTACACATACTCAGTACCTAAATTATCGAGCAAGATAGGTTTTAATGGCTTAATAAACCCACCTGAAAAAATTAATGCTGTCATCATAATACATACATTTAAAGAGAAATGTAAATGACCAGTGTAAAGTAATTCTCTCTCTATCTTTGTTAAAATATGTTGGAGACATAAAATTTTAAATTGTGATGTAAATTTATAAGCAAATTAATCAAAGGTGACAGAACAAAATCATCTAAAAAAACAAACAAATGTCAGAGCAGGTAAAAATGAATACTGCATCATTTTTCTGAGTCCTTGCCATCCTAGCCTCTTCTGATTGGAAGCAAATTTGCCAGTTGAGGCCATTGTGGCTGGTTGTGAAGCAGTCAGATTGAAAATTCTTATCTCCACTGTTTCTCTTCTTTGCTCACCTCTTTTGCTCGCCTCTGACAAATGACTCTTTTATTTCGGACCTTCATTCAAACAGCATCAGTCAAACCTTCAGTTCAACCGTGAGACTAACCCAGCGTCTCTTCTCTTTTCAGAATGCCAACCACTGCCTTTGAAATATCTCGACTGGGCAGACGTGGAGTCCATGGTTGCTGTTGCTTTCTCCTGTGTGGGCATCTTGATCACCTCCTTTGTCACCTTCGTGTTCATCCAGTACCGCGATACACCTGTGGTGAAGTCCTCCAGTAGAGAACTCTGTTATATCATCTTAGCAGGCATCTTCCTGGGTTACATCTGTCCATTCACCTTAATCGCCCGTCCCACGGTGGCATCCTGCTATCTGCAGCGGCTCCTGGTTGGCCTTTCGTCTGCCATGTGCTACTCTGCTCTGGTGACCAAAACTAACCGAATTGCTCGCATTCTGGCTGGCAGCAAGAAGAAGATCTGCACCAAGAAGCCTCGTTTCATGAGTGCCTGGGCCCAGGTGATCATTGCCTTCATGCTAATAAGTGTGCAGCTAACTTTGGAGATCACACTCATCATTCTGGAGCCTCCTGAACCTGTCAAGTCATACCCAAGCATACGTGAGGTCTACCTCATCTGCAATACCAGTAACGTGGGCATGGTGGCACCACTGGGCTACAACGGCCTGCTAATCATGAGCTGCACCTACTATGCCTTCAAGACACGGAACGTCCCCGCCAATTTCAACGAAGCCAAATACATCGCCTTTACAATGTACACTACCTGCATCATCTGGTTGGCCTTTGTGCCGATCTACTTTGGGTCCAACTACAAGATCATAACCACATCCTTCTCCGTCAGCCTGAGTGTGACAGTCGCACTGAGTTGCATGTTCACACCCAAGATGTACATTATTATAGCCAAACCGGAGCGGAACGTCCGGAGTGCTTTCACCACATCTGATGTGGTACGAATGCATGTTGGAGATGGGAAGTCTGCGGCTCAGTGTGGCAGCAACAACTTCCTGAACATGTTCCGTCGGAAGAAGGCCATATCTGGAAATTCAAAGTAAGTAACTTTTTTGCTTCACTTTCTTACACTTTTTTCCCACTAATGGTGTGGCTGAACTATAAAAACAACTAGGACACCCGAATGAAAAAAAGTATGTTGCTTAAATAAGTAACATGCAGTTGCTTACTTTTGAGAAAAATGAATAAACAGCCCCTGACAGGGATTTCCTTGGACTCATCATGGATTTAAATGTCGTGGCAATATTGAGCTTTCACTTTTTTCTATTTTTTCCTTTATGGGATGTAATAATTTATGTTTTGAAAAATAAAAAATAAAAGCAGTGCACAAGTTTTTACTGTGGTTAACAGGTGCTCCTGGTTTGAAATGTCCTACCTTACTAATTTACACATATCTCTAATCATTGTGGTGTGTGATTCTCTGTCCCATCAGATGCGAAATATTCATCTGAAAGTTTTGTTTCTGACAGCTGACATAAGAGATCCAGTACTTAAAAACTTGTGCACTAACTTAAAGATGTGTTTCAAAACAAATCTGTCTAAAAGAAAAATGTAATGACTGTTGAGTCTGAAATATCTGACATTCATGTCCATGATTAGTGCACATAAACGTCTGACTGGAATGATAGGAATTTTAAAAATCTTTGAAAACAATGCATAATGTGGGTTTATCTTTTTAGGAGGTCATTCTGAGTCAAATAAAACTGATGTGTGGATGTAAACACAGGTCAATTCCCCCACAAAAGACGTGGAAAATGCAAACGGAAACAAAATGCAGTGATTTGAAAATCTCGATCTTCAGTTTAGCTAAAAAATGGAAAACAAAGCAGACATTTAGCTATTTCCTGGAAAAAAATCATCTTGTAAGAACTGCTTGTAGACATCTGGCAGCTGAGAACAGTTGCTTTTCGGTTTGGAAAGGACTACTGTCTCAAAGTTGGCTGACGTAATTCTAGCAGCAGACAAGAACTGGATTTTCTTTGTTTTTACTTTGCCTGTCCCAATGGAGGCAGGTTGGGCCTTAAGCTCATTATGTCTAATCATCTTTGAGCTGCCTATAGAAAATGGTATAATTTCTGTTCCATAATCACATGTGGCTTCTTCTATGCATAGAACTTGGATAAGTCAGAGAGTTGTTTTTCAGCGATAAAGAAAAATCACTGAAAATTAGAAAAAATCTACATTCTAATGATCATTGTTCTGAAATTCCTGCACAATCTTTAAATATTTCTGCCGAGAGATTGTGCTTCTCTAAAATGCCCTAGTGAACAACATACCATAGCTTTACATCCTTCTTCATTCTGTTGCCTGATCTCAACCTTTTGGAGAACTGTTGTGACCATGAAATTCAAGATGAGTTTGTGTATTTATTCTAGTATGATGTCTCAGTTCCAGATACCTTCTCTGCATACGATGCACAACATTTTACAGTGTTTCATGAGATTTACAAATCACTGCATTCTGCTGTTTCCTAACATTTAACACCGTGTCCAGACCGGACCCGGAGCGTAAAGTAAATGCTGGTTCGTATGTCACATTTCCCTCCCCCTAAGAATGAAACAGAGCTGAATTCATTATTAGAAACTCAGAATGGGACATTTGCTGTTACGGCCATGCAAACATGTTAGTGATTATCAATGTATAGAGTTTACACATCTAAACCCGTGATAAGACTTGCATATAACTTTTTTGAGATCCACAGCTGTGGCACCTGGACAGGTGACTAAAGTAAGGAGCGGGGCAGAGAATGAGAGTGATCCCAATGTTTAAGTGTTGTCTCTCACCCTTGCTATGCAGCCTATCAAACACTGACCTTTAACCCTCCACAGTTTGAAGCAAGTGTGAAGGCTTTTGAATGTTTTGGCACGGGGGAATTTGTCTTTTTTTTTGGGAGAGCTGCACTGTCGACTGAGCTGTTTTACTGTCCGGCACAGAAAGCGGACATTCGGGGCACAGTACTCTTAAATCCAAAGTTAAATTCTGCTATGATCACATGGAGACCAATCTTAACCTATCTTGACCATTCGACGTGTAGATTGAATTATGTCTCACTGCAGAACAGTTTTTGTGGTTGACCGATTTGATAACACGCTAAAGCAATCGACATACAATTTATCTGTCAGCAAGTTTGCAAAATGTAAAAAGGTGACCAGGAGAAATTCATATATTAATTTACGTCTGTGTGTGCAGAGCCACTAGGTCAGCACGTGTGGGCCAGTTAGTTTCCAATTATATACATGCTGGAGTGATTCAACTCCCAATGGTGCTGTGTGTGCTAGTTCAACTTTCAGAGGCCCCATTTAGTACGACTTTGTTGGACTAATGTGTGTCCATCTTAAAATTCAGCTTTTACCAAGCACAACGCAATAATTAAAAACATTTTTAACATCATGCTAATGCACTGACTGACTGGCCGGAGGATTTTGGAAAACCGCAGGATGTTACCATTAACAAATATTTTTTTTTTGTTGTTGCAGACAACATGTCTGCTTAATGGATCGGATTAATGGAAAAGTTGTCTCCTGCTTTTTTGATACTGAAGCCCCCGTCTTGTTGTGGACACTGCAGCCCTCCGTTAAAGAGACAAGCCCCCCTGCTGCTTTTGGTTTATCCTGACTTAACCTCATATTTAACTTTTTCTCAGCATGTGCACCCTCCCCTCACCACCTCCTTAGCTAACCACGTTAGAGCCAGTCCGAGCTCATTCTGCACTTTACTATGTGTCGCCTTAATGCCACCTCAGGGACCAACAAACATAGCTGCCCAAATGCATGCGTCCCATTAACACTAGAAGGTAAAAAGAAGAAATAAATAATGAGCTGGACGGATTTTAATTCTTTCAAATCAATGTCTAAAGCCCTTTGAGGATCATAATGCTGTCTGTGCCACATTATGAATCACTGTTTGTGAAGCCGATGGTTGTAATGCTCTTCAGGGCTCATGAGTGAAGCCTTTGGCAAAGCTGTTAAATGTCAGTCATGTGGTTAAGAAGTATTTTAACATGCATTAGAAATGTTGAAATGCTGCTGCTCTGTTGCGTTATGCTGCTGCTATGTTTCATGCTGTTTTTTTCTGCCTTCACCTTCCGGTTTTCCTGTGATTGTAATTTCAGTCTTTATCTCGTTCATAGTTCTAATGGCAAGTCTGTGTCATGGTCTGAATCAGGTCCAAGACACCCTCCGAGGGGGGGGAATGTGTGGCACAGACTGTCTGTGCATGTGAGGAAACAGGAAGCCGGCCTGAATCAGACAGCGGTCATCAGGCCCCTAACTAACACCCCCGACCCCCACAGTTGTGAGCCGTCCACCGGCAACCTCGGAACAGACCCCCATCTCTCCCAAGTACCGCCTGGCACTAAGCCTCTGTGCAACCTGGCAGAAGAAGACGACGATGGCGATGCACAGCGCCCCCTCTGGACTTCCACTTGCTCAGAACAGACGCAAGCGCTGGATTCTGATTTAGACGAGTCTGCTTCTTACCTGCCCTCTAACTCGAAGGGCCCCACCGCAGAGCGTTTGCGAGGAGCTGTGGTGGACACACACAGCTCCCACGCTCCTACACTGAATGATCACACTGCCAGAGAGGCCATGGCTGCCGGCGGGCCTTTCAGCTTATCACCCTCTCAGCTTCCTTTGGCCCCACAAGCAGGGCTGTACGAAGAGGAGGGGCCCGAGGAGGAGGAACTGGACCTCTTGCACAGCTATATTTACGACGCCAAGGAGGAGAGGGAGGGGGAAGACGAGGAAGGTGAGGATTTAACTGAAAACAAGCCGACTCTGGAGGATTCCCTCGCCCTGTCTCCCCCCTCCCCCTTCAGAGACTCTGTATGTTCAGGGGAGTCTGTCAACGGCTCCCCCATCATCGAGTCAATGCTCGGTAGCCCTCCAGGATCCGTCTACACCTCAGACCTCCTCAAAGACTTCGCACACAGCTCCTCAACACTGTGAGAGCAGAACCCGCACTGACACATCGGCTGTCAGCAACACACACACACACGCATCCCCACACACACAGCCACACGCACAGATCAACACAAGGATATACCTTAACATTTCGAGTTTTTTCTTCCCAAGTGATTTGCTTGCCTGTACGTGTTACTTTTTCTTGATAAGTGGTTAATCAAAACGCCAAGCAGAAATGCACCAGGAATTATTTGTGAGCGTGTACATATCTGTAGGGCCTGTCATTGCACAAAGCCCTTCGGTAAAATGTCAAACTGAAAACGGTGCCAAAACGAGCCAGCTCACATGCCAAATTCTGATGAATGAAACAAAACTGGGACTCTTGCTAAAAGATGTAGCTGTGTTTTTAATGGTGGCATTATAACTAAGTGAGCTGTGGTTGGGGGGAGAAACAGAATGGGGAAACAAAAATGATTCCAAACCAACCAAATGTTCCCGGAAGATTGTACAGTAAGTGCATTTAATGCCGGTTATTTAGCAGCTATGCTCCCCCCTGTTTCACACTCGCAGGCCTGCTCATGGATGAGGCCCCACAGCTGTATAAAAAATAGGAGTTCCTCGATTGATTGATTGATTGATTGATTGATTGATTGATTATACCTCTACTTTTTTTCCTCTGACCTCATCGTCATTTTAATATTATAAATCAGTAAGGAAATATCAGTACCTTTGGTTGAATATTGCATTTAAGTAAGTATCGAGAGGTGTGCTCACCACAAAAAAAATCTATCGTAATGATTTAAGATTCTGCTGAAGATGTGCGCTGTATGATATGTGAAACAGGTATAACGTGCCAATCAAAGTTGTTTCCAACCTACATCCTTGCTTTAAGTTGTTTTATATAATGTAGCTGATAAAGGTAATAGCGTGACTGTAGAAAATACTGATGTTGTTTATTCTGTTTACAGTCAGTCATAGCCCTGAGAACAACTTTTACACACATGGGACGTGGTGCAACGATTGCTTTTGCTTTCCATGGCGTGTTGATATTTCTCACGTTTTCTGGGTTTGCTGTGTCATTGTAATGGAAACACACAGTACAAAGTTGTACAAGTTCTCAAAGTTTGTAATACTGTTCAGCCATCTCTCGTTTTTCACACAGGTGGTATGTTTGTAATACTGATAAATGTTTCTATATTTAGAATGTCAACAGAGAAAAAAAGAGAACTTTATACAGTGAAACTGTCCTTAAATATTTGTCAAGAAGCAGTGGGTTTGTTATTTTGGTCAATTTTGAGCTAACTTGAGCCGGGTGTATCCTCTTCAAAACATTTGGTTGTAACCAATGATTAGTTGCTTCTTGTAATTGGATCCTACATGTTTTAGTTTTGCGCTAAATCTTGCTATGAACTTAAGTAGTTTACTTGAGGTTAAGTTTCTTGGTTCTTTATCTATAAGAATGCAACTCATTTCAAAGTACGAGACTACACAGTACATACTGTAGTGCAACTGTGTTGTATTTACAAATGTTTTTAGTCATATTATAGTGTAAGTTGTTAAATGATTTTAACCAATGTAAAATATACCAGGTGCCACCTGTTTAATACTGTTGAATCTAGAAATAAATAGGCCTTTATGTTTTGGTTGAGCTAAACATGAACAATGCTGTAAAATAAAAATGATTTATATTAAGAAGACTGATCACTGCCTACATTAGTCTTACAATTTGAGTTTAATTGAGCGGCAAAATCCCACAACATAACAAAGTTTCAGTAGTTCAATCTATCTTTATTGGGTTTGTTATATGTTTTTTATTTTATTTTGGGGTTTGGACATCTCTGAAGTTTTTGTGAGTGGCTTTTGATTTTTCTTTTTTTTACTTGAACTATAAAAAGACAACATAGGAGTAAAATAAAACTGAAAATTGTTATAATTTCATATTATTATTTTAGTAGTCCTGAATTTAGGTGAGTGGCAATACTACACTGGCAACAAAGTATACAGTAGGGAGATTGACTGCTATCAGCTTTTAAAAATACTTTACATAAATACAGATATTTTGATAGGCAAGCTAAAGCTAAGAGCTAATCAGGGGACTACCATAACAGCAGATTGTTTGTGATCTAAAACTTTCAACAGTATTAACCCAACTGGGTGTTGGCGTGGGAACATTGACCAGCACCCTTGCTTCTGAATCAATAGAATGGTATTTGCTTGAACACTAAATATATTTATTTAAATTGGATTTTTTTCAGATCCCAGCTGTTGTCCCCGCTCTGAGCCACAGCTCACCTAACAGGAAACCATCTGATTCTCTGAAATAAAAGTGCTGTTAAGCAACAGCAGACAAGACATTAACTACCCCTAAACTAAAAAACAAAACAAAACAAAGAAAACCCCAGAAATGCCGCCTCTAAGTGTTTACTTAGTGCAGTAGATCTGAAGTCCTCTGAGCCACTGTGTAGAGGAAGTATTGTGCTGCTGAAATAAGCAGATCGCATCTGAAAAAATTGCAAAGTGGATGGCAGCATGGATTCATGGCTCTAAAAACTGCACATACTGTTTTGCATTTGTGGTGCCCTCACCAGTTCCACCTGCTTTTGCAGTAGTGTCCCTTTCTAGATGCTGTCTTTTTAGCTTGTTGAACTATTTGCTCAGGTGAGGTGTTCCCCTTTTCTCCTGGAAGTCACAGCCTTAATATCAAACCTTTTTATACTGGCATGCTGCTGGCCCTATCTTGATCGTCTTGATTGCTTGCTGAGGTAAAAAAAAAAATCAAATTGAGCTCACTCTCTTTATGAAATACAAAACCTTCCAATGCTCTGTTGCTCCATTTTCAAGTGTTTATTTTTTACCCTGTGTTTTCCCTAACCCATCAAATTTAAAATTGAATGTAATAATTGAGAAGCCACTGGTTTGGTATTGTGTTGATTCACATTTGGTTTCGAATTTCTTTTCACCACTTTCCCCCCATTAAATTCACTGCCTGGATTCAGCGTGCTTTGATTGAAGCTTTGTCAGATCTTGTCACGGGTTCCTCGGTGGTCAGTTAAGGGTTTGACCACCAGTTTGAGTCTGGATTGCAAACAGTAGGTCGGTGTGCAGGAGGAGGATCTCAGGCTGTGGCAGGCCTCCCCCGATGTTTCCGGGTCCTATGACTTATCAGGTGGTTTGTGTGTGGCTGCGGGTGGAGGAGGAGGAAGAGGAGGAGGAGGGGGCAAGAAGAGATTTAGAAAGTGGTAAACGGAGGGGGGAAACCCGTAGGCTGCTTCTACTATTTGATCTAGCTCTGTTCCAGCTTTTTGTGTTCCAGCCCTGCCGCCCCCGTCTCCCGAAAGCGCACATTTATGAGCCAGAAAGCAGAAGTTGTGTGAGAGTTCAGAACAGCTGTCAGTCTCAGCATGGCCGGGGGCTCGGTGTCTGAGTGTAAGGAGTACTTGTTCAAAGTGCTGGTGATCGGGGAACTGGGTGTCGGTAAAACCAGCATCATCAAACGCTACGTCCACCAGCTTTTCTCGCAGCACTACCGGGCGACGATCGGGGTCGACTTTGCGCTAAAAGTGATCAACTGGGACAGCAAAACGCTGGTCCGGTTACAGCTGTGGGACATCGCAGGTAAGGAGACTCTCCGCCGCTCGATGATCTGCAGAGTTACAAAACAAAATCAGCTGATCTGGAGTCCGGGACTCCGCACTTTTTGTGCGCCACAGAGAAGTACTTTCATTTTCGCTGGACCAGAGCTTCAGAGGCCCATTTTTAGACATCACATTAGGATTTTGTCCTGACTTAAACCAGCAATGCCTCACGGCCACACTTGGACCAACTTTTCAGACAAAAATGAAGGCAATCCAATGGAGGATTTTATTCCCTTCTGGTCCTAAGTTCAAAGGCTGGAATGGGAGGGCAGGGGGTGCAGCAGAACAGACCAGGTCCTCATGTTTGCTGGTTTTTGTTTTCCAGTTTCTGATCACAGCAGCTCATAATTGTCTGTGGAATTTAGGTCACGTTGTTATTACCGGCTGAGCGCTCCCAGTCCCATAGTAGTAGTTTCTGTAAGGGTGAATGTGGGCCTGCCAGGTGACCCCCTGCTTGTTCCCCGGCTCTCCATAGTGTCCCCAGAGCCCATATGCTCCTCAAATAATATCCCTTCACTCCGGCAACTTTTGCACATATCTGCCACACTTGGCACAGTGTGCTGGCCTGAGCAAGCAAAGCTTTACGGAATCAGTGCAGAGTAAATACGTTTCCACATGGAGACAGTCGGCCCTGCTCAAACTCCCAGCATCTGCCATCTCCAGGCGCTAAAATGTCACGCAGAACACAGAGCAGCCTGAGAGGGGTTTGGAGGGACAGGTGAGTGAGGACGAAGCAGACAAACGGAGGCTCACAACCAAGCGGTCAGCAGGTATGACGTGGGTGTGATGTCCGAGCTTTCACATTTGATCTGATTGTGTTTAGAACCAGAAAGGCTTCCAACATCAGGGCCTGTGGAAATCTCTGACCATAAATCCACCGGCTGTGGTGAAACTCATGAGGGATCATTTCTGCTTGTTATCTTTATTTTGTGTGGCCAGAGATCATGTGGCATATGGGGCTCTAAATATATTAAGAGGTCTGTCATGGGAAAAGCAAACGGCAAAAAGTTAGACCCCTCTCTCTTAAAGCTGCAGTTTAGGAAACAATTTGCACCGAGGAAGTTTACCAATAAGATTACTATTTAAATACTGATAAAACTGTTTTGTTCACATGTATTATCCACCAGTAAAAAGACACATAGGCCTACTAATAATATGCTAGTTATTTAAATGGAAAAAAAACAAAATCAAATTAGAAATCAGAACCAAGCTAAAAAAATTATGTTCCTGTTTCAAAGCTTTTTAAGGCAGAAGCTGCCAAGGAACCACTAACCTCTGAACTATTTTGTAAAATTATACAAAGACTTAAAAATCTCTTTTAGCTTTTCACAAAAACATTTTGGAGGTTATCAAGTCCTGACAGTGTTATGCACGTTAACTGGTATTCAAATTCCACATGTGTTATTCAAATAGCCCTGTTACGCTGGGATACCAGGTCAATATCCTCTGTACATTTGGTCAATAAAACGATTTCTGATTCTGATATTTGCCACAAAACGGTGCAGGGTGAAGTCTTTAGCGTTTTCAAAGAATAAGTCAATTGTTGGTAAATGTCCAACCCAGGACCATTTTCTTATTCTAACCTAAACTTTGCTCATGAACCTCACCTGGTTGCTTTAGTATTTAAACCAGCTTCAAGTTGTGTTTCCTAAACCTGAGAAACTACTTTCTAAACTTAACCCTAGAGGGCCTAAAACAAACAAGTGGAGACTGACTTAGGGGGGCACAAAATCATAGAAGGGAAAACAGAGTTGTCCCACACTGGTCTAAAACTTCAGTCTCATGATTCTAATTCCCGCTGGTCAGTAAGGGGTCTTAACAGTAAGGCACCATTTGATGTCATGGGTACAGAAAGCCTCAAGCTTTAAAAGACCCATAAAAGCCAAATCACTTAAAGGTGTTTCTACTTTAAAACTATTCCTAATTTGTCTGAGACAGGCCGCTCCAACATAATCTGCCTAAGGACAGAATTTAGAGTCTTTGATGATAAAGAATTGTCTTAGAACTCAAGACATTTTTTCAGAGAAACTGCAGCTGCTTCCTTCACGTGTTGAATTTAATCCGCCCTCAGTTAGAAGAATGCCGGGAAAAAAGCCTTTTCTATCACGGTCACCGGGTAGTTTTACTCTGACGTGCTTTTTGTTCTTTGTTCACTAGTCTTTTAACAGTAGATAGTGTTTGCTACAGACCAAAGGGGTTACTTAATGCTTGTGGGATGAGGCATGCAGTCTGCATGATACGAGGGCTAGGGGTGCTTGGGGATACTGTGAGGCCATCTGTCCATAGCTGGGCCAGTAAGTGGACTGGAGTACTGTCCCAAGCACACGTTCAAATCCAGCATGAGGTTAATTTAAAAAGATTCACGTTCAAAATAGTCAACCCAAGCCCCAGAGTATTTTTTCTAATTAAAACCTGTTGAAATGACACGGAAACACATCCTGCAGCTCATGTATTTGCCCAGGGAAGAGCTAATGTTGGACTTTTTAGATAATCAAACAAAACACCCCAAAAAGTGGATTTAAATTAGAACTGAATAGCTAAGACGTTGTTTTTTCGTGTAAAGGACTGATAAAGCTAATTTTAATAGTTATCCTGTTTCAAAGAGCAGGAAAACTATCAGAAACCTCGAATTTAACTGAATGTTCTGGCTTCCGTTTCTGCATTAACTTATTCTATTTCCTCTTTGCCTCAAACTTTAACCTGTCTGCAGGAATTGCAGACAGGTAAGAATTGTCAGTCACAGAAAAGCATTAAAATGTAACTATTCTCCAAATAAAGATTTTAGGCTAAAAGGATGTAGTCAATATATATTTTCTTTTAATTATCAGTCATTAACCTTCCTAATCACTCAGTAGTCTGTCAGAATATTTTAAAAGTTGATATATCAAAGTATCTTGCTTCATGTGTCACTGAACCCGTCAGAAAAAGATAAAAACCTAAAAAAACAAATGTTTAGAACTTTAGATGTTTTTTCTTTGAGAGGTTATCTCGGCTTTTCATAATTTACTTTTAATTATTTTACTTTCATTGACCTCAGACCTGTCATCTTTCCACAGTCGGAGATTTAATTTGACCCGTTAATCAAGCTTTATTTTATGGTAGAAGTGAGTGGTTGCAGATATCCTGAGGTGGAATGGTATCTTCTTTATGTTAATTGTAATAAAAACTGGACTTTGTGTTTACGAGTTATTGTTCAGGTTCACGCCCTGATGGACTAGCAGCCGAAAACGACAACAGTGACGTGCTGAGACTAAGCCACAGGCAGCCCACGATAAAGAACAT